CGAGTGATTATCAAAACCGGCAAATGAAGCTTTCAAATCATAATGTATAAAACTCTATGTAGTGGCACAAGTGATTTCACCATTTATCTTCCGTATATCCTACTTTTCTTGATTGACCATTGTTTTTGATTGCATAAACTCATATTATTCCTCGAATCATATATTGTATGCCTACTGGTTATACCACTTACACTACTCTAGTTTCTTACTACAGAGCAATAATCGTAGTAATGGAAATCGTTTCCCTAACGTGAATTGTAGCAGAGTGCAATGACCTTTTTGTACTCATAAGTTTACTGTGTATAAACAAATGCTGAATGGTTTATAATCATCACTACTGATACATATATTGAAGATGAAATGAAAGCAATTAACTGTTACTACAGTTTGAAAGAATTCACTTTGCAACCGTACATTCGCATTGTTTTCACGTGAGGTGGTTGAAGAAACTTTAGAAACTCACCTAAATTAATAAATTTGATAATATTTATGAACTTATTCTATGCAATTTTTTAGGCATAAATAAAATTACATAAACGGTTTATTGGATAATGGCTGATGTTTTGTTTCATCCTGTTGTTTACGGTTCCATGGTTGTAAAATAAACTATTTTAACAAATTTAAACATTTGGATGGTTTGTTTAAAATATAAAACTGAAAAACTAATAAAATATTTCTGGCAAATCGTCATAAGTTGACTGAGGTCTTAATTGGTTGGAGTTCAAGTCATTAATAATATATTGTAAACTTATGTTCATAAAGTTATCAACTAATAGGCAGCATATAGTGTTTTACTTAATTTTTGCGAATCGGGGTGTTATTTAATGTGAGTAAATCTTATAAAACTTATTGTATGCAAATATCATTTCGATTTGTGTTCAGTATCAAATAAATCTAAATCAAGTATCTTCGTGTTTGAATTAAATGAATGAGATTTGAGTCCTTCCGACGTTATACTAAATCTAGTTTATTTACATACAAGATACATCTTCTAAACCTTCAAGATATTTCCGGCAAATCTATTTACGGCACTCTGCAAATTTCATTATATTATTCTTTTATTGATATCTGACTGAATTTTTATTAATCTTAGCATAGATGCGTAAACTTGTTTCATGAAGTTTAATATCAAGGCAATCCGTAGAAGTCACACATTTGCCAGCTCACAATAATTAACATTTAGTCAAATTATCATCAAAAAAGAGTGTTTAAATTACTTACTTACTTACTTCTGTTACCCTTATGGAGCATAGGTCGCCGACCAGTATTCTCAAACCAACTCTGTCCTGGGCTTCTCTTTCCAGTTATCTCCAATTTTTGTTCAGTCTTCGCATATCTTTCTCTATTTCTCGACGTAACGTGTTCCTTGGCCCTCCTATCTTCCTTTGGCCTTGAGAGTTCCAAGTGAAGGCTTGTCTTGTGACGAGGTTGGTTGATTTCCGCAATGTGTGTCCTATCCACTTCTATAACGTCCTCCTGATTTCCTCCTCCACTGGAATCTGGTTTGTTTTCTCTCATACTAAGTTGTTGTTGATGGTTTCTGGCCAACGGATAATCAGTAATTTTGCGTAAACAACTATTAATGAATACTTGTATCTCCTGGATGATGGCTTTGGTAGTCTTCCAAGTTTCCATCCCATATAGTAGAATAGTCTTGAGATTTGTGTTGAAAATTCTAATTTTGGTGTTGGTTGATAGTTGTTTGAAGTTCCAGATGTTGTTCAATTTTAGAAATGCTGTCCTTGTTTTCCCTATATGCACCTTTACATCGGCATCGGATCCACCTTGATTGTCGATGATGCTTCCCAGATATGCAAACGCTTTTACATCATTCAAAAAATATACACGTCATGTTGTTCATTCCAACCTTGGCATGTAAGTCTTTCATGAGAATCGTCGGAACCTTTGATGATCATTTGTCGACGACTGAATGCAGACTCTCGTGGAATTGATCTTCGACGTCATCATTGTGGTCTATGGTAGGTGCATAACATTGGATGGAGTTCATTGTAATGCCCTTTTTCTTTGTTTTGAAGGATGCTTTGATGATTCTCGTTCCAATAGATTCACCTGCTATAAGTGCCTTTTGTGCTTGTTTGGATAGCATCAGTGCTACCCCTTGTGTGTGTGAAGCATTTTCTTCTTCATGGACAGAGTATAACAGTAACTCTCCTGAAGCTAGTCTCAGTTGTCCAGCTTGTGTCCAATGCGTTTCACTGATTCCAAGCACCTCCAAGTTGTATCTATTCATCTCTGCAGCAACTTGGGATAGTCGTCCTGTCTCCCACGATCTCCGAACCTAAAAGGAAGGTGGATCCGGTTGTTTGTATGGGCATCTGCCTCGTGAGTTCCGAAGCAACTCAGCTTTCATCATAAGATGTCATATCTTCTGAATGAAAAACTTCTAACTCGCCGAGAAGAGTTAAAATGGTTTGAGTTATCTTTTTCTGGTTACAGTTTTTTGGCGAGTTAGTCTTCTACTAGACGGGGCCGCAAACCCCACGTCCGAACATTCGTTATCTGGGCTTAAGGCCAGCAGGTAGGGTTAACAAAATCAGACTGAATATACATATTCAACTACTTTTCTAATACAATTGTATTGCTTTCAGTATATGGATTCTTGAGATTCAATACAGAAGCTTAAGAGCACACATTTACTTGAATATACTATTTATCCTCATGATTATGATAAAAGTTAAAAATAAATAAGAAATTTTGTAAGGTTTTCAACGTTTGTTATGATCATTGAACGTCGCCAGATAATTCTACTGTAGAATATTTATGGGTACAGTACAGTATTTGAAATGTTCTTCATCACAGGAACCAGTTGACCGAAGGATTTTTTCTTACTTTGTAACCATTTAATTCACTTATAAAATTAATTAGTCACTTAGCTATTTAAACTATTTTGATTAGAGATTTTTATAAAATTTATCTTGATATTTCCCTTTTACGATTTCAGTCAGTTTGTCATCTTTTTTTAAACCATAAACTAAAGATTTATTCCATAGATAGAGTATTTGTTTTAAAATTGACTGTAATAAAATGTTTTAATGTAGTCATGTGTATATCAGGATGTTCGTGTTCTGACTATTGATAAATGCATATGATCTACAAAAAGATTTATGATAAGTGACCGAATAATTTACGGTAACCTTTTGCTAAATTATCAATAAATATGTTTCATGAAATAAAACTATTAATGAAGCAGAATATTTTACTGCATGTCAAGCAGAAATTAAAAGTTCTTTGTTGAAAATTCAGACGAAAAAACTTATTAATTCACTTGAATTGACTTTGCGAAAAATTCAGGGTAGAGTTTGTACTAGTCATCAGAAACGCTACTATATTTCTGTTCATGTATGTATATATATATATATATATATATATATATATATATATATATATATATATATGTATAAGTCAAGGTCAAACTGAATAATCTATTTCGATTAAGTGCTATTAGTTTGCGTTATTATCTAACAGTCTGTTAGACAGTGAAGAAACTATTTATTCTTGTAATTAATCAAATCAACTACTTACACAAAAACATGCATGAAGATCATCTAAATTAGTTTTGTTTTAACATTTCATATAATGAATGCATCATCAAATCAAAATCCAAATATGTTCGCTTTCCAGTATAATTACATACTTCGCTTCCACGTCTGAATGATACAACATAATCGAATTAATGTTACTTCATATCTATTACGTCAACATTCACGTGGAAATTATACGTCACAAATTATGATGAATAGCTTGGAATTTCAAACTAACTAAATGTTTTGTTATAAATAACAACAGATTTAATGGATACTTCAAAACAATATTTAAACTTAGTTATTTATTCAACAGCGAAATTCTAATACATTACGAATTTCACGATAAGTAAATCATGCAATATACCTTCGACTGAACCATAGTAAACAGGTACTTAATACATAAAATCTGGTCTAAAATATAAATTAGAGGAATCCGAATTTTATATCATCGTAATAGAAATAGACCCTCGGAAAAAAAATGCTTTTTCTACCTGCTTAATCCTACATAGTGTGTCTAGAAAAATTGTTTTAAGCCGCTTGTAAAAATACTTTCCCATTTTCATGAAATCCCACCTCGTGATCACTTTTGAAGCATGGTATCAAAAATAAAAACTCAAGCTTCACAAAATTTCCTCAGTCTAAATGACAGGTTTACTAACAAGAAAATAAAGACTGGACTGAAGATTTAAATTAAATTAATTTGATGAAATGCAGATTTATCCCATTCGCTTATTCATATAATAAATGCTCTAGGGATTAATCGATTTTCCTTAATCATCCCCGTTACAATTTGATAATTAGGATTCTGAGTAACAAATTAACTGGTCATTCAATATTTAAACCAGACAAAATAATTGGTGATTTATCATTGGTCACACTGTTACACCTAGTTATAAGTAATATAGCTTGAGCTAAAGCTCAAAGTCCGCTGCTGGTTATAACTACCTCTCTTTTGTTGACATGACCTTGAACGGCTGAGGTGATGACGGGCACTCATTATTTGGTTCACTCATACTCTAGCTGTCTTACTTTTCGACCAAGACAACATTACACACAATCAGCGGCGACTTTCGAAATACGTTTTAAACTTGATAGAATATATTTAAAAACCCTTGCGACCAAATTTATCTCAATACTTTGTTGAAACGTCAATAAATGTTTTGGTTTTTTGTAATGCCACTATATACGTTAATAGAAGGTATCAGTAATTTGTACACTATTGACCAGTTGTACTTTCACTCATAATATTGCATAATTTGTTGTAGTTTAACTAAGCAAATCTATCTCCTCTTCCAAAGAAGCTTATGTGAAAACCATTTGTGAAACAACAAGTGTCATTCATCAATAATAAATACATAGCCGCTTCAGCAAAGTTTCAGTTTAATTACCTATGGAAATCCACCATTTTTCTATCGATTTTAGTAAGCGATTTTTTACCTCTTTGTTTATTTGCAGAAACTGACACTCAAAGATTTTGCATCTGAGGTCAGAGCGAATCTAGATATTGATATGTTTATCAAAGAAGCAACTCTTTTATTGGATTTGGATGGATCTACCCTGGAGGATATAATTAGTTCCATGTTAGAAGCAGTATTCGATAATCGTCCCGTAGTTGATACAACTTCATCAACAACAACAGTAAATATGACACCAAGCAGTCCCAGTCCTCCTGATGATGCTGATTCAAATCAATGGTCTCGAACTTCAGCAACTGTAACTAGTGGCTTTGGACCAAAAGTTAACTTTTCAATCACTGGAAATTCTGATAAAACAAATCTATCAAAACTGGATATTGAAAATATGAAACTTGAAGCTAAAAATTCACTTATGATGCAGATAAATTATCAAGGATGCACATGTAAGGAATTTTACATAAAATGCCTTAATTACACTGTCTTTTTTAGATAACATTATTATAAGTATATATTCTGGTTTAAAATAAAATTCTTCATAGCTGTCGTTTATGTGTAAAGCATTTAATTCATGTCGTTAAATAAAATATTTATTTAACCTTAAATAAGATTGATATTATAGCAACTGACAGTCTGATTGCTTCTTTCAGTTTTAAAGAATTCAGAGTTGAAAATAACTTGTTCGGAATATAATTTATAGAAATTTAATAAACACTAAAGACTATAAAACATGATAATGGATATTGTGAAATAATCTATTATTTGGAAATCGATACACATAAATCAGTAGAAATTATAGTGATCCGTCTTCACTACAGTATTTCTAATTTTTAACTTTATTCTCCTACTTGATCATTGATAAAATGTATTCGGTCTGAGAATGAAAGGGATCTACAGAGTAATAACCCATCGATCGATGACCGATAAATGCTTTTTCATAATGAATTTATTCAATGCCGTCTTGATCAGGTACGATAAAATAATGTCATCTATTGACGTACAGGAAGATATTTCTTTTTATAAACTCGGCACAAGTTGTCCCGGTATATTTGGATTTAGAGTTTTTATATTTTATTCTAGTCGGAAGTTCTGTAATGACAAAAATGATCCTAATTAGTATTTTTGTGTGCATTAAATGGTTTTAAAGTTTGAAGAAACCTAACGTAACAGCTTTGTGTAGGCTGAGATCACACTTAGACTATCATTCACAGGCTAGTTTTTTGAAGATTAAATATTGTGATCTACCGGTTTTCCTCATAATTCTTTCTTACAATCGAAAACACAACATCGATAAATACCTGGATACATGTGTTTTTTTTCAATAAGACACTCTACGCAATTTTACAGAGATCAATTTGAATACACATGCAAAATTAATTGATAAGTAGCATTTTAATCTGACACTAATATTCACTTTAAAAGATGAGATAACTATCCGTGATCATGACTGTTGTATTTTATTTAAATAACCTATTGACGAATAAATTTTAACTATCCATGAGCATATTTTTCATCAATACAGAGATGTTGTTTAATTAATCAAAACTATGTTAGTACTTTTTTTATAAAAACTATCGTGAATTTTGAATTTCATACAGTCTCATTTGAGCCTTTAAAATATTGTCACGTAGAATCTAATGAAGATGTTATCTTAAAATTATTCAAAATAAGATTTCTATTTACTACAAATTCTCAAACTATTTGGATTACAAAATAGCAACGACAAATATACAGTCGATACTGGTATTATTCAGTGCACTCAAAAGGTGACATGAAGAGTAACAAGCCAGTAAAATTTGCTTTATTACCTTATTGAAGAACAGGATTACGGAAATTCAGAATATCCGGTTAATGAAGTTACTGGTAAAAAAGCTCTCACATTTCGGCATTCATATGTTAAAGGAACATAAGTAATGTGTTTATTGGTAAAGGTGTTTTCTGAAACATTGACCTCATTATAGGCTTGGAAATACTTTCCATCAATTTTTTGATGAAAGTGTCTGGTGTGAGGCAGTGATTCACAGATGACAGTGGATGAGGTCATTCAATATCGCAGAATGATCGAATTCACATATTAACACTGTTGGATGCCAGCTCAGAGGTTTAGAGTCTAGGCGTTTGCGTGCGAGACCAAAGGTCCTGTATAAGACTTCTTCGTGCGGGGTCACGGACGCATTGCTGATGCGTCTCATACCAGGACAGAACGGACGTTCAGTTCTTCCAGATTTTTAATGGTGTTCTAACAATGATCAATTCATGATTTTAAGGAAACTCATCAGTTTCCACAATCCCATAATGTTAATTAGAGTTATTATTATTACTTTCCCTTTCAGTAACTGGGACACATTCTATCTGTTTTTTTCACAACTTTCCTATCCTGTTCTGTCATACTGTAGGATTTTTGCTACTAACCCAACTTAAGCAATATAACTGCATCCATATTTTCAGTGTAATTAATTCAAAAAATAGATTTGGAACAGTCTTTTTATCCAGGAAACATCTCTCTAAAATAACTAACCGTTTATTGGATATCTTAGACAATCTTTAACTTAAATATGCATCCCATCACAAACTAATATCTACTAAAAAACCACTGAATACTAAATAGTTATACAGACAGTCTGAAACCGACGGGGATCATTTCTAAGAAATCGTCAAAAAGCCAAAGTAACTGTACAGCTCAAACCAGTTAATGATATGAGATTATCTACAAATTTCAATCAGAACTTTAAGCAACTAGGATGATAAGCATTTAAACTATCAAACTGAAATTCTCCAGCGAAACTTCTGAGAATGCAAATTGATTGGTTATCAAAAGAGTAAATTTTATTCAACAAAAAGAACATACTGTTTAATACAATAAGGGTAAAACTATGAAATTACATTTTGAAAATTAATACAATGCACTGAGTCTACTAAATGAATGACGTTTCACAGGCTACTTCCTAGATTACTTACAGCCCTAAAAACGGTCTATCCATGCTGTATTTTGAAATGAACTCAAATTTCATAAAAATTAAAATAGGCATTTTAAATAAGTAACTGAGCTTTATCACGACGGAATTTATCTTACTGCATTAACATTTATAAAAAGATATCATATTTATGAAATTGCTTCGATCTAAAACCGAATTAGAAATATACTTCATTGAATTCAACTAATCTGGTAGCAATTTAATAAATTTCATTCAACTGTGACTAATTTTATTAATAGTCCAAATTTAAATGTAATAAGTAAGTTAAAAGAAGCATTAATTGTGAATACGAAAACTTTCAATGTTACTTAAATTATTTTAAAAAGAAAAGGGGGGATGTCTTAATACATTTCATAAAACTGCCAGAAATATGAATGAAAATCCAAGCTGAACATTGATACGAAAAAAATATTCATTTCGCTAAGAAATTCAATACTGTAAATAGTCAAACAAAAAATTGAGGATTAATCCTTACCAATAAAGCTGCTTTATTATTCCTCGTTGAATAAGTTGACTTGATTGTTTGTCTAGTTTTTCATCCTGTCGAGTTTATTTGATAGAATCTTGGAAAATTAAATCAAATCTTTTTCAATCAAAAGAATGAATGATTATTTTTAAGGTAATATATAGAAGAAAACCCTAGTTTCAGAGTACAATGTGTGTTCTGTCCCTGTCATTTTCCATCAACTGCCTATTTATAGAAAGTACCTTTTGATTAGGAGCTTCATTGCAAGCCCCAACCTTCCTTGTGTTTGTTTTTCTCATCTGTTGTCCACTCAGAGTTTCATAACAAGCAGTTGCAGGTAACTCCATTCGTTTAAAATGTACTTTGGATTTGAAGTTTCATTTTTAAGATATTTCACTCACATACCAGTTGAACAAAAATACAACAGAAAGTTTTAAGTATATTATTATATTTCATTCGGTCTTCAAGACAACGATAATTACATGCTGATTTTCTATCATATTTAAACATTTCGTGTTTTACTAAAAATATATATTTAATGATGATAAAAACCGTTTATCCATTCTAAAGTATAATAAGCAGTAAGATATTAACATTTTTAGTCATAATTAAAGTAAGAATTTTTTGTAAATTCCATGAAACTCGATAATTGTTGCATGACTGAAAGCCGAAACATCTCTAGATGGAAAAAACTTAGAATTTAAAGCATATACTACAAGCTTAAACAAAATTTGTGAGTATTTCAACTAGTTTTACTTGATATAATGAATAGAATGCAGTAAACGTACACTATACAATCAATTCCTTTAAAATGTAGTTTATCCTAGTTTTAATTTGCCTAGTAAACAGAAATTGTTAGAAGAGTCTGAGTAAATTCAAATGTTATTGGATTTTTTAATGTTTTGCGAAAAATATAACTGATTTTTATAGTTATCATGCGAGTTACTCTCACAATTATTCATTTCATATTTCGCTCTCTCTATCCAGTTTTGATGTATTTCATTTACTGATGGTTTTCTTCACAGACCACAGGCTTGCAAAGACAATAAAAGGAGTTTCACTGACAGATGGTGATTGCTTATCAACCGATCAAAGTTGGATTTGTGCAATGTAAGTAATATTAATGCCCTTTTCAGTAGCCATAGTTTTATGTTCATTAACTAACAAACGTTTTCATGACTATAGTGACGATACTGTTGAATAAAGCTACTCATAGACAAACAATCGAAATCTTCATGTAACACGAGCTTAATGGGTTTTTGAGACTGTTGTTTAGAAATCATTGACATGACTGAAAATTTTCCCGTAGATTATTTCCGACCGGTCACAAACTACAATTCAGCTGTTTGTTTATCATAATTTATGCTTATTTTCTGTGTGTTAAACTAAGTAGCTTTCATTTTCAATCCTATTGTTGATTAACAAGATAAAAACTATTTCAGACTGACTGAATGATGAGTGAATTTTCAAGTAGTTTAAAATCTGAGACATTACATTTCACTTTCACAATATTCAGAGGAAGAAAGTTATGCACATATTGATCCAAATAGGCAATGATTTTACAAATTACACATAATTGAAACCACAAATCGATCAATGTTAGATCACCATTAGAAACCTGGAAGCACTGGACGGCCGTTTCATCCTAGTATGGGACCAATCGGCAGTGCGCATCTACGACTCCTTCACCTCACAGGATTCGAACCCGGTACCCACAGTACTGTGCGCGGACGCTTAATCATCGGACCACTGGGCCGGCATCTAACGGTGTTAATTCCTAACATGATCAATTCACGGAGTTGCGCAACCTCATACACAGTCTTCGGTAGTTACTGTCTACACCCGAACAGGTTGAATTTCACTGGTCACGTCTTCCCACTAGAACTCGGAGAAGATTCCTCACGAAGCTAGTCACTAGTGAGCACAGGTAATTTGCATTACGGGGTTGTGAAGATTGTTAAGTTACACATTTTGAGGAGTCCCATACCAGGACGAAACGGCCGTCCAGTGCTTCCAGGTTTCTAATGGTGATCTAACATTGATCGATTCATGGTTTCAAAGAATTTTTACAATCTTCACAACCCCATCATGCAGATTTTAGAAATAACAAAATTGTTACTAAAATAATCATATCAAAGATGAATAGGATGAAAATAAATAATTTAAAATCATTCATCCTTTCTTTGAAATCTATTAAATATTCTATTACATTATTTCTTTATACTAAATCAGGTGTTCATTACGATCGATTCATAAACGTTATCTTGCTCTAGCAAGATTAAATAATCCAGTTAATTTTGGCAGATCAAGTGAAGGAACCTATTTGATCGTACTTATAATAACACCAACCAAAGAGGTAATCTTGCTTTAATCTACACATTTGTACACATTGCATTTTGATAGTTGAAATGAATTAAACTCTGGTAACCAGTTTTTAATCTCCTTGATAACATATTCATAAGCAGAAATATGAAAACATGATCACGTGGGACAGAATTACACTAACATCACTCTGTTTACCAGTCAAATTAAGTATTATGTTTTTATTTATTTATTTATTATAGATTCACAAAAATTTGTATCGAACTGTAATATTTCGATCATTTTAAACTAAGTTTACATTGAGTATTGATTGAAAGGTTAATTTGTAACTATTTTTAAATTATGATTTTACTAAATTTTCAATAACTAAAATTAATCATTTCAAATGAATGATTAATGACTGAATTGGTTTGAATTGATTTTAGTCGTAGTGAAAAGCTCTTTAAGAAAATATTTTCCTATAATACAGATAGTTTACTGCCTAAAACCAAACGGCTCTTCATTGTAATCACTGATTATCCAGGAGATATGAATTAATGATAAAACCTCATCTTAGGCTATTTAAGAATAATTAAACAAACTTCAAACTTATTAATTATCTAAAACAGTACATTGTAAAATATTTAACAACAACACCTGTTGGTTGACATCTTAAAAACAGTTTTTCATCACAAAAATCAAACTGCATAGGTTTTTTTTTTTATTCATTTTTTTTGCTTTAATTTTTAGAAAGGTACAAAAAGTGAAATCGAGGTTGGTCGTACATTTGGCACAATTTTATCGGATCCAGTATTTCGACAAGAATTATTATTTGCTACTAATGAAAAAGAAGTGAAATTATTATTATGGGATAGAGCACAACAATTGGCGGCAAAACAATCAACCGACAGACGCAGATCATCACAATATTTGGATGTTAGAAATCAAACTCTTAATTTAGTGAGTTGATGGCACCAGAAAGAAAATATGTTTTTGTTTAAGGTGTTTGATATTTTTATTTCACAATAATTATGATTAATGTGAAATAAAATGAAGTAAACATAGAATACAGTTTTGAAGTGATGATTCTTCTTCCTAAATTTCATACTGTAAAAAATATAGGAACATAAAGTCAACTAATTACGTACTAACGTTCTAGAAACAAACGCCAGAAAACAATTAAAAACTATAAATCTAAAATTTCCGTTTTCATAAATAGTGATTAAAACTAATTGGTTTTTCAAAATTAAATAATTTTTTTTCAAATAGAGTTCTCAGTCAAAAATTGGCAAAGGAATTTATTTGGATCTTAAACGTAAATTACCATATTATTGGTCGGATATAACTGAGGGTATGTTGAATGTTTTGGGATATTTTCGATAAAATAATTAAACATTACGATTATGTTTGGTTTTTAAATAATTTCTATGAATGATTTGCTAATGTTAAATAGTAATAAAAAAGTTTTCATCTAAAAATAAAGGAGTACTAGATACATTTCATTCGTTACTCCACAAGAAAGCTGATTTTAAGCAGCCGCTTTTTTTGCGTTGTTTTGTCACCTTTCCAACGATCTAAACTGTTTCTAATTAAAGTTACCTTACTGGCAATAATTGATATAAATTTAGATACCATCATTAGCTATGAAAGTAGTAGATATAAGGTTGATTGTGCTGCACAACCCACTAAATATGAATGTCAGGTAAAATCCTCTATTAATATTACCTCCACTTTTAACTGTTAACATGAGATATCAATGAAATTAGAACCTCTTCAACTATTCTTGGGTTTTACATGCATTTTAAATGCCAACATTTCTTGACGAACAATTATTCTCCTCATAAAACTGAACCTATTTGAAATATTTCAACTGATGACTAATCTACATTGCCCCCTCTAATCATATGTTCTAGGCTTGATGTTTCCCACTAATATTTACACTCATCAAAAGTTTTACCATGCTGATATTGTATGCAGACATCATCTGATGCGTATATATTTCAGATATAACTGACTGATAAGCTAGTGATTATCTGATAGAAAACCACCTCTAGGTTACACTTATTTTGTTAATATCAGAAACCACCTCTTGTCTAACGTGTTACACTGGATCACGTGTCTATGGAACAACTGAAAATTTATTTTGTGATTCATTAATAATACTGACAATTCTTCATTCACTGACATTGTTACTCCCTGTTGTTATCCCGATCTACAGAGTTGTTGCTAACTACTCCGATGGTCATTACAGAAGTTAGTGATAAATTAAATTCAGCCTTTTGAAATTACCGTTGTGGATAGACTTTTGATGACTAGTGTCATGTTTCTATTCCTGACAAAATTGAAAACAATGCGCTGTTGAATTCTATCACAACAATTTAAACGTATCGTGCATAGTATCTATCATAAGCGTGTACTACAGGAAAACTTCAAACTATGTTGTAAGTGATATTGTTTTCTTTCTAACAGTCAATAGTTTTCTGACTGATATCAGTCAATAATGGATTGTATCTTCAAAGTATTTAAAATATGATGCATGGAAGTGATTCTTTTTTTAAAATTACCATTTCATTTACTTATCTACTGTACTCATGTTCTCTGTGTAATGAAAGTACACCACAAACACAAACTATTTCAGCTAACAACAGTTTCAGGAGAGAAAGAACAAATGTGTTGTTGTATATTACCTTCCAGTAAAGAAAACTCACTTTCTTTAATAATATTTATTATTTTGTTCCTTTTTTCACGTATCAAAATTAAACTCAAGGTATCTGTGGAAAAAATACATTGCGTAAAACAATATCAACCACTATATTCTTATACTTTGCTTGTCTACTTCCTTCAATTGCATTTGGTTTATTGAATTCGAAAAATACTGAGAAAAAGATGGGTAAGTGAATTTAGGTGAATTGGAAAATATTTTTCAAGTTAATTACTTGTAATGAAATAAATGATTTACTCCTTTGATTTTTATCGTTTTATGTACATACATATATATGTATATATATTAGCACATCTATACTTCAGTGTATATATTCATTCAAACGAAATTCAATCTTTAACTTCATATGAATTTTGAATAGTTCTTTTGTTGTTTTCGTCTGCTTTAATTTATATGTTGTGTTCCGATTTTGACATTTTAATCTACTGGGAGAAAGGTTTCTTATTTAATCTGAAATAAAATAGGTTTGATATCGTATGTTTCACGTATTCACCAGACAGAGTTAAAAAAAAGTCGAATTTGACGTGTGTTTTACGTAAACTAACTCTTCAAAATTGTTTTCACCAGGTTCAATATTCAAGTTTTGAGTTACATCGGATTTATGAATTTGTTTTAAATTACGCACATGATTAATTATAATTCGGTTAGCGTAAATCTATTTTCATTATCTAGTGAGTAGGAAAAATCATATATATTTTTTTCACAAAAAATAATTTTCATTGAATCACTCTAATTGAGGCAAATGAACTTCGTTAAGATTTTGTACCAGCCACAAACATTAGTAGTTTAAATGCTGTTGAACAGGTGAATGTGAATATTTACAAAGTAAATTATTTACAGTAATAATGTCTACCTTTTAGACTTCAAATATTTGCATAATTCATTGATGACGTGAATAGTTCATATGTGATCTCAGTGTGTATCACAATTCTTTATAGTAGCACTATTCTCTACATATGGTACGGAAATCAACATCTCCTATCAGCAGCGAGTTATTATTTCACTTTCAAATCGACTAGCGTTAACGATCACGAAATCATGGTAGAGTGCTTTGTATGTCGTCTGGTTTTTAGAGTGCTAGTGAACACTGACCTATTAGTTTCATCAGAAGGTAAGAAAACACATTGGATTTTATGATACTAACATAAAAATAGCACTTTTTTTGGACGTTTTACTGTAATAGTTCGGCTACATCTTAAACAGACATTGCACTGCCACTATCTATAGTAAACATTTACAATAGTTGTTCACAGATGGCGGTTTACTGTTTCATATTGAACAAGGAAAACAATTCACTGCGTGTACTTTAACAGTAGTCAAGTTATTTTACAGGAATGTTTCAAATAAGTAAGATTTTATCAATAAAGTCAGAGGATGAGTTTGAATCTACTGCATATTATAAACTAAAGTACGTTGTTTAGCCAACTTATCATCTGTTAGCTTACATGTTTATTTTCAATACTATTTAGATCAATTCTTTCACATTATGCCATGAAACAAATCGACGAATTCAATAGGGTTTTGCTTAGGCTTCCTTTTTATTATAAAAGATTCAATCATCCAACGTTAAAACATAAACTTATAATTCATAAATTATTCAATCAGATCACTATTCTTATAAGATTAAGTACAGTTTATCACTCTTATGCTGAAAATGTACATTTGTTAAGTGAATACGATTGTTCAAAGAATTTCGCTGTCTAGTTTATTGTTAGTTTACATTGATAATGAAGACTTATATAACTGACTTATTCATTTGTTTCAACAAATACTCTTGTCTGCTGTTGTCAACTAAAATAACATAACATTGACGAAATTATCTATGAAAAGTTCCAGATTTTTTTTCTTACTGAAACAAAACGTACTTTACGTTTAAACTAGTTTTCACTTCATGTTTTGTATTGACATAATATTTATTGTATTGACTGTTGTATAGTTTTTTCTCTGATATAAAACAAACCTTTTGCATAGAGTACATCAATATTCGACAGCTATTCACGTTAATTCATAGTGGCATTTTATGTTTATATATATATATATACAGTTTTGATAAATATTCATCTATTTTATAAACTGTTTCGCAGAAATTGAATGACAGTTCCTATAGCAAGGAGAATGTAACTTTTGTTTAAGACAAGAGAATACACATTGAATATTGTTTTGCAAAAATAGACAGGTAATAACTGTGTCTATCACAACATATGCAAAAAATGAAGACTGTCTTCATTTATCATAATATATACAGCAGCAATGTTTCAAATGATAACAACATTCTTTTTTAAAAAATGTTACTTCCATCATGAATTTTTCTTATCCCTTTTCAGAAAATGTGTGGAATGAAAGTTGAAATAAATAAACTGGAATGTAAAATATTCATTTTTATCGTAGTTTATTTATAAACATTTAGCTTGACAAAAGAAATGTCTGTCGAATGACTTAATCATATATAAAGCTTGCTTTACATCACTCTTGTGAATTGTACTTTTGTGCCTGCCATATATACTGATTCAGTTAATGTTTGAATAGCTTATTGACAATATATCACAGACTCTGATACTAGGTGTTGTTGGCTTGAATCCTACTTCGAGCTTCAATTCCCTTAAGATTGATGAAGCACCTTATCGACGATTAACAACTAGTGCACAAGTTAAGTACAGAGCTCTGATCATCCAACATCACACAATGTAATATTGTTTGAATATTTGATATTTTACCTTGTTATAAGTATAGAAACATGATCGTAAGGTACTTAACTAATTGACTGATTTTAGGAATACACCTTATCTGTCATGCAACCGACTTCTGAATGGAAGGCTTACTAAGAAAATTCGATGTCCTAAGAAGGTTTTCAAAGGTTGTTTTCGAATGAAATGCAATTCCGAAATTTCTCACTATCGTCAAGGTTTCTGTCCTAGATGGGTAGAGTGACCAATTACGTTTTTTTCTGAAGGCTCACAGCATAAAACGAAGCAAATGTCCAGCAGTTATCCAGTTTTAAATAGTCCATACGTTCATGTAATTCCAAGAATAAAAGTATTTCAGAACAGAATACTTCATAGATCACACATACTGATTTCAGTTACCAATTTTCTTTTCTGAATCTATCTAGTTTATAAATTTTAATCATACGGAAATTTATTTACTAATTAATTATTTCAATAAAATAAAGAATTCACTTGCTGTTATTGCATACGTTTTTGATTCTGTTTTCTTGACAAACAACTATCATTTTGATCAAATATTTCGATTTTTTGAATAAACTCCTTAAGGTTTGGTATATTCTGCTCATTGGTACTCAAAAATTACCAGTAAACACAAGACTTGAGATTAAAAACCAAGATATTAATAGTAAAGTCACATTAATTATTACTGAAAAACATTTTCTATGCATGATATGCAATATGACTTAATAAGACAAGCTATTCTATTGAATGTAGTTGGTTTTATTTTAAATCTAATTTGCGTCAAATTTATAGGGTTTCGATTTATTTTTTTTGCCATCTGATTAGAAGTATTAGGGTAGAAAATGTGAAGTTTATAAATCATTAGGTGATATTATCAAGCAAATTCAACTAACAGCTTGCTTGTAACCTATATTATTACGAAACAAATTGTTCCACTGACTCCTTTTAAACTAATAGAATTAACTACTTGTATAAAATTTAATAATAACATTTGTAATCGGTAAATAGTTAGAATAAACTATGATACCACATGTTGATTTCAATCAAATTCAATATTCTCCACAACCCCATATTAACAATATGAATACATGTCAAATCTAATATAAACTTCCACACATCCTTCTTATATCCTACGCTTGGTATTTGTCATTGATGAAAGTTTTCTAGACTATAAATACGTCTAAGTACAAGTGTTCCCATTCGCACTGTTGATGGTTGATCACTAACAAATAAATAATGCCATACCTTTCACGTTCTTAATCCTCATTGGTCAAGATGAAAAAGTATGGAGACCAAGTGAATAATATTGTGTTCTAATCAAAGAGGGAACAGCAATCGGCCAAAGATTGAAGATATACCTTACTGATAAGGACCAGCTAGGATGAAACCGTGGTAAAAGCCTTCTATCATCTCTTGTAAATAGTTTAACGCTAATTTATGCAACAAAATGAAAATTATTGACATGTACAATAATTTTTCATAACATGCTTATCGAAGAAATGTAGTATATGGGAAATTTTACAATGAAAGATTACTGTAAATGGTACAAAAATAATATGTGAATTTTGAGTAGTTCAACTACTGTCAACAGAGTTTCACTTACGTTTTTTCAGTTCAGTAATAATTAGCGAGATATCTAATCTGACTGATACATAGAAATATATTTGGTTAATTAGCTACTGATTACCGGAGACAGAATATATTTGTATCAAAAGCACTATAAGGAACCATTGTCAATGTGAATCATTCTCTGATTCCATCTTCTAAAAAGCACTTATTTAGCATGAAAAATTCCAATTCTTCAAATTCAGGTTGACAGTCAATCACGAAAATAGATATTTTATGTATATTAAGAAATAATTATAACTGCCCCATACGAAACACCTATGCACTCAAAACAACGATGAATACCTGTATTGAAATAAGAAGAATATTAATTAACTGACAAGAAAAGTATATCAACGAATTTTCATCCGTAAACGTAGAGTGTAACATTAACTAGATCTTTCTGATATATTTCCACGTCTTATTCATCGAATCACCTATGCATAAAAGTTAGCGAACTCATATAATTATATCAGTAACTAGCAAAAATACTGTATAATAGGAATAATTCACGCTGATAAAACATTGATATCTTGACTAAACCACCAGTGAAATCCTAAAAAACCTTGACTAGACTCCTAATAGGACTTTTAGAAAATGTACCTCAACGATCTTGTCGTCAGAGATAGGATGCTCAACTTATAGCTGGCATCCAACGGTATATAATTCAGGATATTGGGCAAATACATTCTACTGTCTGTCAATGGTAACTGTCTCAAATCTGACTCGGTTGAACTCCACTAGTGACAGGTTCTCATCAACATACAGAAACTGAATCTTAAAGCGAGTCACCAGTGAGCATATGATTATTGTGAGTTTAGCAGGGCTTTAAATTTCACTTATTTTCATTAATTCTTCAATTAATAACTAATTGTGATGAGTATATAATAATATATAAGCTTTACTGCAAAACATTAATGCTGATAACCATGGTTTTCAAATTATTTATCATTGTTGATATTTTCATAATTTGTTTATTGATAAAGATAACATTAATTTATATAATTTTATAGACGTTACACGTGTAATAATGGGTCAAACCATAGGTGGATTATGTTATGGGGTTTTTGGAGGCCAACCGTTACTTGTACTTTTATCAACAGCTCCATTGGCTTTATACATTAAAAGTAAGTCAACTGTTTTTATTTCAACAGAAAAATAATTGTTTGAAATAATAACATGACGAAAAATAGACAGTATTCATAAGCTTTTTTGTCAGTGTAGGCAAGTTGGATAACGAGATGGAGTTTAAAGTAAAAAGGTACTGGGTTTGAGTCCACAGGTGAACATCAACGCTGAGATGCAGATATGTCTAGCCTTTGAATCCAAAATAGCAAGAACTACGAGTCTTCAATTTCATTGCCAGCTCTGCTATTAGTGCTTGTAAACGGAAGGCATTACTCATGAAATCCTCACAGGATGCATATATATAAAGAACATCGATCAATCGCTGTCCTAAACATCCGTAGGATGATTCAAACAACCAATATAAAACAAAACTGTAGTAATTAAAATTAGAAAGTAATAAAATCCATCTTACCCGTATACTCCTCAATCCTTTCTAACGAGGATAATTTCCATAATACGAATCTAAAAATTCCTCTTCAAGGTATTGGAACAAAAACCTCCTAATATATTGACAGCAGAAACTTCATAAAAAAGAGATCTGAAAGTGCCGAATAGATGACTCTTTCCAAAAAATCCTATGCTATACTCTAATGAAGAGGTTGCCAGTAGAAGTATCTATAGAAAACTATTCATAAACCTTCAAATAAACAGAAAACTTGGACCCAGTCAAACTCATCGTTTTTTAAGGCCAGTATACCTCTTTGAAATTTCATTATTTACTGTAACTCATATGCGGTTATCCAGCGGATACTTATCGTTGAAAAACGTGAGATTTGGGGTGAAAATTTATAAATTAATAACAGAAAGCTTCGATCATATTTCTATTTTTTTGACAATCTAGGGATACCCACGTCAAGGATAAGAATAAGCCCAGCAACCTGTGAGAAGCTTTCCAGAAACTTTAAAACACATATACATTCAAAATACTGAAAATTTAATCTGAAATTAAGATCTCTCGAATCAGCAAACCAGTAGTTTCAATGAGGCATTAAGGATTAATACTTATTCGCTACATACCTTACCAAACTATTTTCGGAAACTAACCTTCAGACAAAGTAACTCATTACTGCTAGGATGGCTCACAGAAGCCTTCCGAGGTTCCGAAGAAGCCGAAGCGCTTCCACCCAATCACGGCTCAATAGAACTTCTAGAACATAGGATGGGGCTTGGGGTGAATGGATGATGACGTAACATCGCTCACTGAGGATCCGATGATTTCATACATACATACAAAAAACTATAAATACACACGATTTCTCTACACATTTTTGACACTTATTAGAGTATAGATTTCTTCTGTCTCTTTCGGCTTTTATTTTGCTACCCGGAGATGATTCTACTCATCTTAGTGCCAAAGGCTGAATATATATATATATATATATATATATATATATATATATATATATATATATATATATATATATACTAAACAACTGATTGTTATTAGGCTCATAGATAAAAATGGATTAACTATCTACTCATTGACTAATAGTTAACACGCTATTGAATGAATATTTTTTATTAGCTCATAAGCAGATTGTTAACATACCTAAGATTTAAAAAAGACAGTTCCATGTCTCTATAGATTTATTGTACACATAACATTTCAAAATGCAGGAAAGAAGATGTAAACCCCGTTCATGATACGAATAAATAACATGTAATCGTTGAATTCATATTTCAGTAGCTAGTTTAAGTGAATTCGGGATTCAAATGTTGAAATTAATTTCAAATGAATATCATTGCACGATAACATTTTATTTCAGTTTTGTATGTAAATACTTTGTTTTAAATATTTTTTTTTGTCAATGTACAATTTGCCGAATTTTCATTTCTTTATAATTTTTCTTTCAGTTATTTATACCATATCTGAAACATATTACATTAATTTTTATGCAATGTATGCGTGTATTGGACTATTTAATAGTTTATTCTTAATCATTTATTCCGTTTGTGGATTTAGTCGTTGGATGAAATGGTCTACAAGGTAAGTTGCCATTTTCATTATGTCCATGTAATCGAATTGATATAACTGAGATCAGACCAAATTTCGCTGTCAAAAAGTAAATAGTTCTTGTAGTGTTTTGAGCCGAATGATATAGTTGCATAGCTGTCACTGTCATCCTAGACAACATCATCAGCGTTAATTTTGTTTAGAAGTGAACTACTTAGCTTATGCAAGAGTAGTAATTGAGTTTGCTGATTAGTAACTCTTGAACATTTCACTCTCTCTCTGTCTCTGTCTTCTCATGTATGTTGACTAGTTTTCCTCAGTTTATATATGACGAGGTTATATATGAACCTTATCTAACAGATTGATGGATCAGGTCTAAATCCACTCAAAACTGGCAGACAGAGGTATTTTAACTTGGAATAAATGAAAACCACTAATAAGTGTTCAGAAGATAATTTGACTGGTTTTTTTATTTAGAGTATAAACTTATCAATCTATTCATGCTATTTTGTCGACTTGTTTAATTATTTAATCAGTTAATACATTCACTTATTCATTCACTTGTCTGCCTTAATTGCTTTTATTCTGTTCTGTGTAAAAAAAATAGATGATGATATTTTATTTAGTTTTATGAAATAATAAAAATAATAATAATGATAATATTAACAATGGTAATATTACTTGTCAGAGAAAAAAAAAGGAATGAATAACCATGTTATGTATTCGTGTTAGTTATTTACAATATTTATATGTGTGTGAGATAAGTGTGGTTTCCATTTTCTCTTACTCTCTCTCTCTCTCTCTCTCTCACTCTCTCTTTTCATTTTGAATGGTGGTTTGTGAAAAGCATATGTAAATTTTCTGTTATTATTACTATCATAATACTTGGTCTCGAAAATTTCTTTCCGTATAGACTGCCATTCATCTATTTTCTATTTGTAAACAATAAGTGTGTATTACTGTTTTTTTAACGGTTATTTTATATAACTAGTCATTTAATATTCTGTTGCTCCACTAGAAAAACTGTGAATATTATGATAAATGAGATGGATTGATTTGTACCTTTCAGTGTGTAATGTCCATTTCAATCCTTTTTTGTTTGAACACAAATGTATGTTTAAATGTTTAGTTTAGTGAAAGAACAGGCTTTATTTCTGACTAGCAAACCAAATTTCACTCTTCTCTTCGTTATAATACCACGAATGAACTAACCAAAATAATCGTCTTTTTTTTGTATGAAACTAAATGTTTTTTTTCTAAAAAAAAAATTGTTCTCCCTTGTTTGATTTTTATCATCGTTTTCTCTATTTCGAATTAATATACCTGAACTTGTATTTCGATGTAAAAGTTAACCTTATATAAAATAACTAAACATTTTACCTGTTCTAATCAACAATTTAAAATGCTAGTTCATAGCGAGCTTATTAATGAAGTGTAAAAATGAAATCACAGCCTTAAATTTTACTTATTGCATGATTACTCTCAGTGACAAACATGTCCAAATGACTATATTTATGACAATACTAATACAATAAATAGATTTATCAATATAACTGCTTGTGTTAATTATTCGTCGACTAACATAAATAGTTCAGTCATCATTATAATTATGAATACATTCACCAATTAAAACTACAACTCAATCTCCTGCTTTGATTAGCTTTTAGTAATCATTAAATTTTTAAACTTTTAGTAAAACCAGTAAAATCAATTGTCAGCTGAAAGTTTCTTCAATGGTAGTGAACGCATTTTCGATTAAAACAGGTCTGTTAGTTATCTTGTAGAAGAGAACATTGGAGAAATATTTACATTTTGAATCAAGTTTACTTTCAGAATTATAAGATATTGATTAGGGTACTTTATTCAACTTACTTTAATTAATGCAACTAATGACACAAACGAGTTCATTGGTCAATAATCTAGGCTTGACAAATATTTGCGGAATGTCTGAATCGTTAATAATGCAACAACATTCTTTCTATAGCCGGGTACATCAATATTGATTTTTTTTTCAAATTATTAGGTTCACTTACAAGTATACGTTATTTGATAATTTCAGTGAAGTGAATTTTTAATTAGCGTAAATAAATGGAAAAGTTTTGCCATAATTTTATATCTGACATTATTCAGTGAATCTATTAAATATACTTTCTTTTGTAGCGATTAGATTTTAACAGATTCAATAACCGGGAAATAAATGGATATCCCATGACATTAGTACTGAAAGATATACCCTGAAGAAAACTATAGATGAAATTAGAACCTGGTTATCTGATTTATTCATAAAAATAGTAATAGGAAGGTTCTCCGTAAATTTCATAATAATCCTAAAAGTTAACTTTATCATTAAGCTTTTGCATTATTGTATAGTAATAACGGAGATCGTACTAAGTATTTTATAATGCAAACATTATACACAACATCTCGTGAAAAAAAGAAAAGTATGTATCTGAAGGAATTTAGTATTTAATATCATTATATCATAGAAAACATAAAGGCAGTTTTTATATCTTTCGACTCTTGATCGATCAGAAATGCCAAATCTTTCTTGTTGCTGACCGAATCGTCTTGGTTATGTTGCAATGTGACCACTAGTCTAGGTGACTAGACATCGTGTGCATAAGATGAGATGTAAAATGATGATTAGCAGTAGTAAATATGAAGCCCTAGACCCAAGGCTTTTGTCATTCAACACTCGTCAGCAAGTTATACCTGTAATCCTAAAGAAACTGATGCTCCCTGGGGTATCCAACTTCACGTCACAGATTCAGTCAGATTTGATGCCACAGAGCTATCGGCGACGCAACTAACCTTCAAGACTGAGATATATTTGCAGCTGATCGATCACTGAACAGTTATCAATGACATGTGTATCGAACCTTAAGGGCTGGTCGGATCTTATTGATTACCCTGCTAATGAGTGCCAAATAGCATGGAACCTAGTATGAGGGCTTATTGTCAGCCGCCTTTGACTGCTATCTTAAAATTTAAACGAAGTCAGTCAGTCTTTCATTATGTGAAAGCACAATTTCACTGTTGAACAAGGATTACTATGTATTTTAAATGTTTTGTGATATTCTTTCTTTATAATTCAATAGATTACATTAGACTACTCTTTGATTATTTATTTAACAATAATTTTTTTCAACAGATCAACAGAAGAGATATTTGCTATGTTTGTTTCAATGGCATTTCTATATGATGCGGGGAATGATTTGTATGCAAGTACGTAGTTTACATATATATTTCTATACTTATATATTAGCTACAAAGAGATTTTGTGCTGCAATTCTATATCTGTCACAAATAAGCCACTTGAATTTCTGTTGCCTACCGTTCTTTCTTTATTCGAGTTGTAATTTGTTCAATTTATCAGTACAGACCATTTGTTCCTGATAATTTTATTGAAAATGCTTCTTCATTATTATTAAAATGATAAAAAGGATCTTTTTATTGGCTTGAGAATTCCATTCAGGCGTGTCTTTCAAATGAATTAAAATTACAGGATGGGAAAAGTAGGCGAATTTTACTGATGCTATATCCTTGTGTGAAATTATTCAGAAATGCTACTTCATACGAGATTGAACTTAATACCCTCAAGTGAACTTGGTACATTTACTCTAGTTTTAGAATTCATTTGTCTGAATTTTCAGCATTCTGATAGATTTGTGTAAAAACTATTTTTTTCACACTGAAATTGGAATTGTTGTACATTTTAAGTGAAATCAATCATTGTTGGATCACTATTAGAAACATGGAAGCAATGGATGGTCACTTCGTCCTAGCATTTTACTCTTCATAAGTGCATATCCACGAACCCCGCTCGAATAGTTCGAACCCTTGACCTTCGGTCTCGCACATGAACACCCACTGACACGGCATCCTATAATGTTGATGTCTAACTGATTATTCTAAGACTTAGCGCAACCTCACTCATTGTTTTCTGTAGTTACTGCCTACACTCGACAGGGTTGAACTCCACTGCTCACAACTTTTCACCAGAACTCAGAGAACTTCCTCACAAAGCTAGTCACTAGCGTGCAAATTGTATGATATTCGTTACGGAGATAGAGAGATAGTTTTTTAATTAAAATCATGAATTGATCACCGCTGGATTCCATGATTGGGGGCCATGGATGAACACGGATGAGAAGTCCCGTGTAAGGACGAAATGGCCATCCAGTGCTTCCAGTTTTCTAATAGCGTTTCGACAATGATCGACTCATGATTGCAATCAAAAACAACAAACTCCATAGCTCTATCATGAATATCATACAACGTTAATTATTAAAACAGATTATGCACAAGAAAATTTTCAGTGCTAGAACAGAACAGCTAAAAATACTTTTTGACTGTTCAGTCATGAGGTAGTGAAGTAAAATGTTAATAATGTAAGTCTGCTTTTCATTCAGAACAACCACTACTAAGTACACATAGATAACAGTAAAGACGGTGATAGCACTTAGTAAAATTGATCTACATAATCGTTTATTGAAAGAATATGTAAAATAAAACTTGTGTAAGAATATAAATGTCAAGCATACTGTGATAAATCAAGCGTAACAACAATTAAAGTCACGAGGGATGAAAATCAAACATACAATACTAGTTTTCTCTTTCATCGAAAGATTACATTTTTTGCAATTCAGATTTGATATTCACAGATTTATTTAAGTAAGAAAGACTGAGCGTTTGCATGAACAAACATTCGTGATAAAATCTTGTGCTGTTGAAAAACAGTTTTAAGTATTTTGATAAAATAATTATTAGCTAGTAACCTGGTCAACATAAATTGTTGACTAAATTACTGTTTGATTAAAGAAGAGAAAAACACATAATTATCTATATTTATATTCACTATTCAATGTCATACTATTCTATTTCTAATTAAACAAAATTAATCACGCAATATATTTCTGTTTATTTCCCTGAAAAGATTATTGATACTCAGTTATCCATCCATCAGGTATATCGGGTGGTGTATACCTTTTTTAACTACAACAGTTTGCTGCACTTACGTTAGCCATTTTCTACAATTTCTTCAACCCGATTGTTCTTAGTATCTCTATTTTTCAACTTTTCATTTATTCAAGCATTTCAAGAAAATTATCATTGTAAATTATCAACAAATTATTCATTATTATTGAATGAAACATTCACTACTCAGGGATTTGATTTGAATCTAATTAATGCAAGTTATTCGTTCGGTAGAATTTCTATAGATAATTGTCCTGATTCATTAGCATCTATATCATCATCGTCATCCTCATCTTCATCATCATCATTATCGACATCATCTTCATCATCATTAACATCGTCTTCTACTCTATCAACTTCACCATCACAACATACTAATAGAACCATTACAATCATTCAATCAGGATGTCAACGTGAAGTTGCATTAGTCTACTTAATTTTACTTTTGGGCACGGTATGGATTGCAGTTAACCTTTTAAATTTTACTAAGACGTAAGTTTTTTTTTTTATTTCTTTATTTTGTCATGAAACTACACATGATCTTAGCTCATTGAATGAAATATATTTCATACTTGTTATTCACCATGAATTGGACAATTGTGGATTTACATTTTTTTTTTCATATTGATTGTTTTAACAATGTTTGTCAATAGTATATGTCTTAATCAGAGACGTAATAATTATTTGCCTGAATTGGTCATTAAACAATGACTCATATGTCTGCCTAATCCCAAGTCCATATCGGATCCTATCGGTAACGCTACAGTATATTTTTTTAATTTACATAACTTTATTTGTGACTTTACAATTTGTAGATTCTATCCCAAAATAAAATATTCTAGACTCATTAATCAATTTTGTTTGAAAAAGGTATACATGTCATTAGACATGATATTAATATCATGATAATTGCCAGGGATTCAATGTTCAATTGTGAATAGTTTATTAAAACATTAGATCAGTTAATAAACTATGGTCATAACACTCTAGCCTGGCTGCAAACACATATCAAAACAAATAGTCTATAGGCTATGCACCTGCTATAAACAAAAATATTTCCTATTTAGAATTGCTTATAGACACATGGTATACATAGAATATAATTAAACCTATTTAATTTACTAACTAACTGTGTGACGATAAAATTAATTATTTTAATCCAATTTGAAATATATTTGGCTGCAATTCATAATTATGTGATATATTGTTGGTTTAATAAATGAAATTGAATACTTTTTCAGAGAATTCAATAATAGGTTACCATAGTAAAAATATATATCCATTGGAAAACTTACTTTCTTAACTAAGCAATAATTAGGATACTACTAAACACAGATGTTTAACAAGTAAACCTAAAGGTTTGTCGATCTTAAACACTTTAAAATAAAAAAGATTCATTTAAATGAAATTTGTAAACTTTAATATTTAGAAAAAAATTTTTCAAAATTACTTCAGATAATAGAGAATAACATTACATTCTCAGAATGATAAATTTTATTCTATAATGTAAATATTTATCAATAAAATAAATGAAATTAGCTTGAGTTCACCTTATTCGTTTACTTACGATAATGTTGATAATGCTCATTTTACCATTTCACTAAAAACTTAACTAACAAAAAATTTCACATAAACTTCTCACTCAATGAACTTCAAAAGAGAAACATTTACTGATTGAATGAATATTTAAGATTAAATTTATTTCTCCGCTAAACAAATTCAGTTGGTACATGAGTTTACTTGTCAATAATAATAATCAAGAATGAACATAAAAATCATAAAGTTGTTAGTAATTTAGATTCATATGTAAAAAAATACCTCTTACAGGTGATTAAAAGATGACATTACACATTATATAGCAATTGAAATAAATACTGACAAAACATGTACACCTCTTCGGTCTTCAATTCGCACAACAATTAGACTATTGACTGTCCTCATCAACATGTCTTCTAGTCTTCAAACTACACTGATCACGCCATACATTTTGATCTCCTTCTGATAGTAACTTCTAGGTCACATACTACTTACATGTTACTATGTGAGTAGCATCCACCACATTACAATTACCAAATAATTTATACTATGTAAACATGAATGAATAACACCACATGTATGTTACGTGCTTTGTGAATTATGCTTGTGCTCTATCTTATAATATTTCGGACATATTTTCAAACCTTTAGATCTGCATATTTCTTTATTTTACATGAACTAAGTTACTGCATACTCTATCATCTATCACATTAATCATCCTATGCTTAAATAGACCATTTGGCAAATGCAACTTATTCACTGAAGTATTTTCTGATGAACACTGAACTTTAGTATTTTTAGGAAAATATACTCATTTTTATCAGATTATATATAATTCAATGTTGTTTGATTTACTTAATGACAGTGAAAATTGAACAGTTACTGAATCAAACCAATAAAATAAATATCCTTTAGTCAGTTGTTTAAAATCTTACTCAAGTGAACGAAATTTACTAAAGTGTTCATAGTCATCAGTTTTTCATCTAGCAATAACTGTCATATTCATTTACTTCAATAGTTTTGCTTCTCTTATTTAAAAACACAGTGTCATTGAAGTGTATTCAATCTTTCTGCAAGACGTACATGAAATTATATTCATAACGTATGTTTCAATAGTTCATTTATTTAGTCTCTAAAAAAAGTAGCTAACAATGAAAAATCTAATTTTTCTACACAATGAAATGATATAAATAAATTACTTTTTTTTACTAATAATTTGCCTAATAACCTAACTTACACGAAATTATCACTTTAAACCTTAGAAACGGTATCTTTATTCACAAGATTTTAGTTTTTTTGGTTTGAAATCATTTCCCTAGTAAATAACGTATAAACTAATTTGGTATCTTAAAAATTTATCAGAAATAATACCTACATAATGTTAATCTTCTGCTTATTTTCTGATGACTACTATTATTTCACTGAATACGTTCGGACTAAACGCGTGAACAATTACTTGAAACAACTTAATTTCAACCGGTCAGATTTATATTGACATAATTTCACGCTTTTTGTACACTTGAAGGCTAACTCTTATGAAACTGTTCAGTTAAATCTTGATACGAGTTCAGAAATATTGTTTCGAACAGTTTTTGCATAGTTTATTCGGATTTTACTTATCCATTTGAAAAAATACGAATAAAAGTTTCTTTTACTATTAGCCAGACAATTGACGAAGCAGAACAAGTTGCTGTGATTGTAACTTTTTTAATTTAAGCATCATGAATTAGTGGTGTTTTCAATCGTGGGTGGAATTCAAGTTGAATTATGTTTATCAGTCAACTCGTTTTCACAGTAGCTTTATATACTGACTGATATCAAAATGAATGGGTCAAATGTAATACATAAGCCTGAGCTATTCAGTACCTAGCACCTAAATAAAATATAGCTGTTTAATTTCCTGTGCTGTACAAATTAGAGTTTGAAAATCGACTCCTCACTTACTTAACTTGACTTTACTTTGATTTGGAATTCTTTAGAAGTGCATTAACTAAATCATGGTGCCAAATATAGCATGTCAGCCAGTGACATTATCATATTTCCAAGGTTTTCTAGTAGATCACTTTGAACTATCTATCTACTCTGGAACAAAGATGAGAATTGTTTACCGCACCATCATTTTTGTGTGCTCAGTTACACTGTTGTATTTGAGTATTTCTTTGCACACAATAAAATTCTATAATTTTCATGCAAATCGACACTTAGTCTGAAGTGGGAAGATTCCATTAAGAAATTCACTGAATGAAAGTTTGTGTTGGGGATGTTAGATCCCCAGAACTCGCTTGATAAATGCCTTATCTTGGATTTCACGTTTACGAGCATGGGCTGACCAGTTGACCTTGAGATTTCATTTCCCACCACAAAAATCCTTGGCTGGGATGGATTACTGTGTCTTTTTAGTGTGCTGTTTTTGTGACTGCTCCAACGACGTCTCTATAGAGTATAAATAAACGTAATTTGAGTGCTTGGATTCATTGTGTGCTGTCTGGGTGTTTGTAAAATACACTTTCTACACTATATCAAGACTTCTTACTGGTACAATTTGGTCAAGGGATCACAGTAGCCTACTTGGACTCTGGTTCATTGTTTTTTTCTCGTTATTCGACTGAAGTGAGTCCGTAATCATTTAAGCATACCTAGAGACGGGCGTAATACATTCACAACTGATTATACAGTGAAACATCGTAACTTTTCGAAATTAAGATATTATCAAATTAATATAATCGTTTGTTTATATCGAGCTAGTATACAAATGTCTTCATCAGAATCAAAATTCACATACATAAACGTACTTTACTACTTTCTATATTGCTTAACCACATTCCTAATAATCACAAAGAAATTCACCATCACACTATAGATTGCATTGCTAACATAACACACACTGTATGGATTACTTAATAAAAAGTAATCAAAAGAAACACAAAGTAGAACATATATATATATATATATATATATATATATATATATATATATATATATATAATTCAGTGCATTAATTATTTACAGTATTTATATTACTCCGACAAAGTAAATGTTTAAATATCATAATGCAATAAACCAAAAGCATTTACTAATTGAACACTGAATCACATGTAATATATACACATATATATCTTTGCTTAACAGATAAATGTCTTTTTTCATCTTACATACGTATTAACTTTTTGAAATCATTAACAATTTTAAAAGTAACTTTTATGCATTTCTTAAGTAAAAATGAACAGATAGGCATACTTGTATGTATATGTAAAAAATATTGGAATTTTTGCTTATTTTTTCCCTATAAAATTCTGCATTCCTTGTGAACTACGATGGATTATTCTAACCAGTATGTTTATTCAGTATGCGGATTTTGTGATCATAAAATTCGATCGATTGAATCTTAATAACCGCATACATATACATATATATGTTTACTTATTCCGTTTGTGTAAGCCATTAAAAGTGATCTGTAAATTTACAGAATATTTAAAAATTTTTTTATAATTGTTTTCATACCATTAAAATATCGACTATCAAAATTATTGGTAAGTCAATGGATATTGAACATTGAATCTGTCTTATCAGCGTACAATTAATTATGATTGAAAAATTGAGAATTAGATTTTAGTGTTACGAAGATCCATTAAAATGAGGAATGGATAACTTACGTAGCTACTTTTTACAAGAACTACATGGTTTATTTTTCAGTGAGTATTTAACGATTAGTTTATTCACAATAATGGACCAGTGAAATCATTAGTTATCTTTTAACCTATGTTTTACTGTTCAGTAACAATCATCAATGAAACTCAACAATCTTTGCATCAACCATACTGATAACTATAAATTTATTCCTTAAATATTTGACTTAGAAAAATCTACAAATATTTACCAAGAAGTTTTGAATAATACAAACAGAACTGGAGTGCAGTAGTCAACTTCAGTTACTTGATAAACTGTTTATTAGGCATGTAACGCAATGAAATATTATTATACAAAGTGAAACAAAAATATTTCACTTACAAACGTAATCACAAAACAACAAAATATGAAGGTATAAATGTATATATACATCCATTGTTTCATTCTTTCTGTTCGAGTACTTATAATTTAATATACTATTCTAGGAATCGAAGGTTGGTACTATAAAAACAGAGGTTTCTTTATAACTGGACATAAATATGATCTAAACATTATTTCATTTATTAATTAATTTTTATTATTATTATTTATTTAACAGACCATTTCTAACTACTACGAAACGTGAAATATTAACAGATTTTGCTCTACCAATAGCGGTCGTTATAATGTCGCTTGTAGGATCCCTAATATTTGGTGATATAAAATGTAAGTTGATAATTACAAAAAAATGTTATACTGACTTCATCGTCTTAGATATTCATTCCTACTAAGTGAGTACAATTTAAATGTCTCACAAATCAGTGACAAAGATATTTCTATAACACTCTATACTCGATTCTAATGGTTAAGCAGTGCCAACCTACAAGTAGATTGTAATCTATGGTAGAATAAAGCAATGGAGGCATACATTATATCGTTAAAACTGATAAAATATTGTTCTGTTGCAACCCAGTTATGTCTCGTTCCAACATCTCACTAAAAGCAAATATCAAAAAAGAAACTAACCAGAATAATCATAAATAATAATTATAATAATAATAATCACAACATCAATTTTTGACAGACATCATTAATTTTACTATTATATTACACAAAATCTGCATTGAATGCTTGAAATCTTAGTAAATTACTACACAAATTTTTTTTTGATGAGATGAAGTTTTATTAAATGTAAATGAAGCGTACATTCCTTTCAATATTTTTAATAAACACTACTAACACTGTATGCATTCATGCATAAATGCACCTAGAATTATTGGTCAGAAAAGTAGATTGATAAAAAAAAAGAGATGGTAGGCGGATAAGTAGGAATACATGTGAGTGTGTCTTATATTAGATTTTGTCATAATTATTTCAAGAAAATGTTTTGTATCTATATGAGTTTTAAAGGAAACAAGAGTTTATGAGTATGCTTCATATCTCACTGGTGAAACATGATAATTTTAAAACAGTTAACTAGTTGGTTTATTGAATAACCAATACAAAATATAACATGACTGGATAAATCTGATAGATTCATTAAAAATAACTCATATACTTTTTTCAACGTTAAATAATGAAAGTCCTCACCAACCATACTTAGTTTTGTTGATGTGTGATGAACTGTCTTACAATTCACCATCTCATCAATAGTCCTGCATTGCTTTGAAAGTCCATACTTAACCAAAATGGATCAAATCCATAAAAGTTTCTCAATCGAAGTCTCCGGATTTTTAAACGATTATACGTACAGTTTAGAAGAAAACACGCAATAAGTGTTTTTAATACTGCTAAATGTTTTAAATTATAACTACCAAGCATTTCTCATCATACCTGATATTGGATTGTCTGAAGCAAACAGATATCCTAAAGAACTAGAACTTAGTCTGAGAACAACAAAAAACATCAGTTCTTATATGACTAAACACTAGAAAACAATATTAATTCCTACGAAGTGAATGTATGCCATAGAATCTTGATAATTTCATTTGTTGACGAAAATCTGCTAAATGAGTTTACAAATGAGGTAGAAAATATTGATGTAATCGAAGTCAAGTTATTGTAGACAATTTAATACATCAAGTACTATGTTATCTAAGCATACAGATAAGTAGATGTGTTTGCTTAAGAACTGAATCATAACACTTTGTTTTCTATTCCAAAGAAAACATTTATGCTTGATCAGAAAACAATTGCATTAATGAAAATAAATGTAAAACCTAACACTTAAATGAATTCAACTTCTGCTAAGTACAGTCAAAAACATATTCTCAATTCATCCTTGACAATGGAAACATTAACATTTTTCATATGCATTACTTTTAACTCAAAGAATATCATCGTCAAACTAATCTCTTTTCTTTGGAATTTCAATTTATCCTTAGTAAAACCATTTGAAGTGGAACCATCCGATTTTATATTAAATAAAGCACCATTGAACTTATTAGGTTGGCCTGCTGTACTTGGATCTATTGGTATAGCTATTCCATTATCATTATTATTTTATATGGAACAAAATATTGCCAGTGCTATTTTGAATTCTCCATCAAATAAGTAAGCAATGATTTTATTTTTGTTCATTGTTCAACATTCTCTTATTTATCATAGTTGTATTAGATTGAACTATTGAAATGTACAGATAGTATTAAATTTTTAACTTTGTCTTACCCAATATCTTATTCCACAAGTGCCTTGCTTGATGTTTACAATAAACATTCTTATCAATTATCCTGTGACTAATCAATTATAAATACTGAGGATTAACTTCAAGTGAATGAATGTTTTGGTTTAAATTTAGATGAATAAAGTTAATGGTTGCCAGTGAGTTTGATAAACTTCTTTTTAAGTATTCTTTTGCAGTAAAAATCTATAACTTTTGAAGGATTGAACATTCAGCTCAGAGAGCGAAACTCCGACATAATCATCCACCTAAGCTACAAGTTTTCTCCACCACCTCGAGAAGAGGATTGAACGTTTATCATTACATTTTTAGATGAATAATCCATGTACCTAAAAGAATGGTTGCTGTGGTTGTCAGATGATGAAACTTTACTTTTCAGTCATAATATCAGAAACTTTATTGATGGTATTAATAGAAAATATTTATAATTGAATCACTATTGTATTTAAATTGATAATTTCAAATAATAAAACTGACGCTTTTAGAAGGTAAATTCAAACCAATCCATAAATGTCTGTTAGTTCGTGAAGTGAACTAAATTCAAACCATCACAAACTGTTTATAGCTTATGAAATCAACACTGACAAAACGTATTCGTGGTTGATGATTTTACAAAGGCTACAATGACTAATCGGCTGTTACGCTCGTCTCTAGGTATGCTTAAATGATTACGGATTCACTTCAGTCGAATAACGAGAAAAAAACAATGAACCAGAGTCCAAGTAGGCTACTGTGATCCCTTGACCAAATTGTACCAGTAAGAAGTCTTGATATAGTGTAGAAATTGTATTCTACAAACACCCAGACAGCACACAATGAATCCAAGCACTCAAATTACGTTTATTTATACTCTATAGAGACGTCGTTGGAGCAGTCACAAAAACAGCACACTAAAGTGACACAGTAATCAATCCCAGTCAAGGATTTTACTGGTGAGAAATGTGATCTCAAGGTCAACTGATCGTTCCATGAAATGAATCCAAAATAAAGATATTTATCAAGCGAGTTCTGGGGATCTAACATCCTCAAGCATCTGTAACATCTGATCAGTCATCTTTTTAACGATATCTGGTTTCAACAGTTTATTCTTGCTGAGTCGCGGGTAGAAATATTTATTGAAAAAATTCCTTTCATTTCGGTAACATTCCATCACTCATCAAAATCCATTTCAATATTATTAGTTCGGTGACGTAAAAGCTACACAGGAATTAAATTTTTTTCACCCCAACTTCATTTGTGTCCAATAAGAAATTCATTTAATTATTTTTTTCGAAGTAATGTAATGTACGTCAAGTAGTGTTTTAAAAAGCTATATAACTAGAAAATTTAGTTAAGAGAGAACTTTAATTTAAATACTCTTTAGTAGTACTTACTACCTAGTAATGAAAGTCATTTTTCATTCACTTGAAAGCCAATCAATCCTTAATACAATTTACTATTTTTTTATAAAATCAAGCAATAACATTAATTGTCAAGAGGCATCGACTGTTTAGATCTTTTGTAATATGTCACAATGTGAGTAATAATTACTGTAAATGAAATGGAAATATCCAATCTCCCTTCATTTAGTTACTTTGCATACTTATTATAGGTTGAGGAAAGGACCATCAAATCATTGGGATTTATTTGTTATAGCACTTATCAACATCATACTATCAATATTTTGTCTTCCATGGGTTCATGCAGCTTTACCTCATACTCCGTTGCATATGAAAGCTTTAGCGGATATGGAAGAGCATGTTGATGGTGGACATCATATCAAACAAACGTAAGTTTCATAATGACTGAATTCAGAATAATATTTAGTTTACTTGGCATATAGTAAAAATGCTAAAACTTGGATAAAATAACCACTTCTGACGACATTGATATTATCTTTTAATTGTCAAATTATTCGTTGTTTTAAAAACTCGGTATCGAGTAACTTAACTATCAATATTAATGTATCAACAGTAACAGTATCAGTTTTCCGCATTTATTCCGTCCTTGAAACAAAAATTGAAAATATCCAAGGAAATAAATAAATATAAGGCGATCGAAGACTGTCATTCGAAATGTATGAACCTATGTTTCATACTCGTTAAAATGTGAGGTGCATTCTCGTGTAGAAATTTCTATCTTACGGAAGATCAGTCATCAACAGAACAATTCGTCTGTAAAGACTTTAACTACAATGGAAAATGACATTGGTTTCAATTGTTACTTTCCTTAAAATTTCAGATAAAATTTGTCGATCAACCGGTAGGGAAACATTAGGTGTACAGCTTAATTTTAATCCCATCCAATTACTAAATAATAGATTTAAACATACATATTAATTGTATAAAAGTATTATATGAAATAACGACTTAAAAATTGAATATCTAGATTTTCTAAGACATCTTGATAATATTAACAATAGAAATACAACATAAAAAGATGTTTTATTTATCCGGTGTTGAAATGCGTAACATGGTATTTGGTGTGTAGAAACATTGTTTTACTTTACGGTTATTCCTCAGTTACATTACTGTTTTATTCTCTTTTATTCAGTATTATTCGAGTACGTGAGACACGATTAACATTAATTATTTCTCATGTACTTATTGGATTATCATTAGCAATGATACCTTATCCATTAATCTATATACCCCCACCTGTATTAAACGGTCTATTTATTTACATGGCTATAACAGCTTTACAAGGTAATCAGATGTTTGAAAGAATATTACTTTTTATTACAGAACAAGTAAGTGTTTATCATTAAATTATATCAAATTGTTTTTAATCCTGTATACAAAATAATGTATTTGAGTATTTCCCTTTCGAAGAACGTGACATTGTTTGGTATTGACCAAGGTGTAACATTATGTCGGAATTCATCTTGATTAGAGTTTTACTATCCGTTGAAAAATAAATACAGCAATAATGATTTTGATATTATTTTGAAATTAAATAATATTACAATGAACATAATTATTCCTGAAATGTAACTGATTATTCTCTACATTATCTATCCTTATGTAAGGCTTCTAGTACGAACGGAAACTTGAATTCAATTATCATTGCTACAAATTCTATATACATTTCATTGAACTTGTTTCAAATTGTCGAATGGACTTCTATCAAGAATATGAATTATTTATCAGTTCTGCTTTGATTCATTTCAAAGCTTTATGACTAATATTGGCGGTAATAATTGGGAAAAGAAGTAACTGACTTTTCGATATTAGTAAACTTTAAAATCAAATATCTATAGATGATGAGCTTTCGACAAATGTGAATCATGGAAGTGATTGAATCCTAGTGACAGTTGCAAAATTTAACTTTTTCTGAGCTTACTGCTTGAAACTTAAATTAATTTCAGAATGTGAATTGCCAGGGACTGGTTATCCTTTCTATTTTCAGTTAGAGTTATGGAGATTAGTGTGTTGTTTTACACATTTGAAATCATCAATCAATCATTGTTAGGCCACCATTAGAAACCTGGAATTATTGGACTGGAGTCATCAGCAGTGAACATCCATGACTCCTGCACCTCGCAGGATTCGAACCCGGGACCTTCGACAATGTGCGCGGACGTCTAACCATTGGACCACACTACAAACTAACTGACTAATAAAAACTCAACATTTATTTTTACAATAATATCAATCATCTTTTACGTGCACATATATATATTTTTTGATACGTCATCTTATCAATCTTACATGATTTTTTTCAGTCGGCTTATCCACCATCACATTACATCCGACGTGTACCACAAAGAAAACTTCATTTATTCACATTTTTTCAATTGATACAATTGGGATTTCTGTGTGCATTTGGATTTGCACCTAGTCCGTATGTGAAATTAATATTTCCTGTAATACTCGTTGTACAAATAATTCTAAGGTAAGAACTAAAAATTCGTGATGAAGCGTTCGAAAATTAAGAAACTTGACCTCATATAAATGAATCATATATGTAGAGAGAACATACAAAGAATGAAACGATAGAAAATTAAAAAAGTGGATTCATTCGATTTATTGCATATATATTAAAACTAATAAAACCGACAGATTTTCATTAAGTGATCTGAAGGTTAAGCGTATATGCTCAAGACCAAAGTCCTCAAGTTCAGTCTACTGATGCAGAGCTATGATGGATTTGCACATCTGAAGAGTCCAATTCTAAGATGAAACGGCTATCCATTGGTTTCCGGTTACCGATAGTGATCTAGCAGTTTGTGATTTGAACCATAAAAATTCTGCAACTTCCACCTATCTATCACCCATATTCATTTTTAAATTCATTGAAAAAAAAAATTTCCGATAAATAAGCAACACTCCATGATCCACTTATAATCCTAGTCAGTTGTTTGAAAAAGCGAAAAATTCATTCTCTTGACAAACTCTTGTTTGTATACCACCAAAAAAAAAACTAAAATAAAATATCGGAAATTGATTAAATTTATTTGAGTTTTTATTCGTTCCAAAAAATATTAAAGACTTACTAGTTATTCTGATAATATAAAATTTAATTTTAAAAATTTTAGTCACCATATAAATAGTTATCAAATGAAATTCGGTTTACTGTTATATGGGCAATCACAAATACTTTTCGGTAATACACAAGTACACTTATGGTAGAACAAATCAAACAAATGGTTTTGTTCTATTTGAAATATAAAGCAGACAGAGTATATATCATTGCTTATGGTAGAGTTGACATTGAATTATTTGCATTACGGGGTTAGGAAGATTGTTAAGTTCTTTGAAACCATGAATCGATCAATGTTAGACCACCATTGAAAACCTGGAAGCACTGGGAGCACTGCTGAGGAGTCCCATACCAAGACAAAACGGCCGTCCAGTGCTTACAGGTTTCTAATGGTGGTCTAACATTGATCGATTCATGGTTTCAAAGAACTTAACAATCTTCACAACCCCGTAATGCAGATTACCTGTGCTCACTAGTGACTAGCTTTGTGAGGGATCTCCGAGTTCTAGTGGGAAGACGTGACCAGTGAAGTTCAACCTCTTCGGGTGTAGACAGTAACTACCGAAGACTGTGTACGAGGTTGCGAAACTCCGTGAATTGATCAAGTTAGACATTAATACCGTTAGATACCGGCTCAGTGGTCCGATGGTTAGGCGTTCGCCTATCATACCGAAGGTGCTGGGTTAGAATCCTACGAGGTGCAAGAGTCGTGGATGCGCACTGCTGAGGAGTCTCACACCAGGACAAAACGGCCGTCCAGTGCTTCCAGGTTTCTAATGGTGATCTAACATTGATCGATTCATGGTTTCGAAAAAATTGAATTATTTGACTTGGCGAATATAACAGTTAACTTGGTATTGTATTCAGTTACTGTAAATTTGATCATATTCACCGCGTCCATATTAATTTCCGAATTGATTCTCCGATAAATAATTTCTGTCCGAGTAGTTATTCAATTATACAATTTTTCATTTCCATGAAATATGACCATCATTAATAACCATTCTGTTTATTTATTTATTTCAGGCATACACTTATTCCTAAAGCCATCGATTCGAAATATCTTGAGGCGCTGGATCGTCATTTTTAGTTAAATAAATTCAATTACTCCATTGATATTCTATTATTATTATTATTATTACTAGAATTACTATTATTACTACTGTTGTCGTTTCTGTCTATGTTGTTGAATGAACTGAATAAGTTAAATTAACAAACGTTTTGCAAGAATGAATGTTATATTGTATTTATATTTATATACATATAAGTGAAGCGAGAAAGAGATTATTTGTAGTTTCTATTTCCACAATATATATTCACTTTATTTTTCTTTCTGGTATTTAGGGTTAATGTAAAACAATTAGAGTTGATAGAAATATTTAATGTTAAAACATGTATCTTATTTCAGTTAATTATTTATTTATCAATATATTTATCCTAACTTCGTTTCCTAATCACTGTCTTTCAGTGAAAATATTGCATTATTCTTACTTATCGTAAGCTATTCACTAAAAAGTAGAGTTATTATTCTAAGACTACTAGAATAATACTACTAGATCGATAAGTTTGTTCTAATGTATGAAACAGCTTTACTGTCATCTTTTGGTTCCACAGGTTATGTATTAAAGTTCAGATAGTAAAGCTAACAATGTTTAAAATGAACAACCTCCAAATACCAGTTCTTTAATAATAATAATCGTGTTCTCATTGAACAATAATCTCAAGAATTCTGAACATCCTAGTTTAAAACCAATACAAGCAAATTGATAATTTTTTCATAGTTACAATTACGGACTGATCTTAGGTAGACCACTATTAAAATCCTGAAAGCATTAGACGGTCGTTTCGTTCTAGTACAGGCATCTTCAGCAGTAGTCATCCAGTTCGTGATTTCAAGTATGAAAATAATGTAATCTCCACAAAGCTCCTTCATTATTGACACATTGTTGAGAGGAGTGAAAGATGGCCGTTCAATAAACCGGATTAATTGAAGGAAGGAATGTGAACCTTGTTGAATGTTTAACTGTTTCAAAGCAGAAGGATTAAGCTTTATATGAATCATCTCAGCGAATCACCTTTCCGAACAAAGTTGAGACTTTTAATATCGATTTAATGGAAGTTAAAAAAATACCATGTATTACTTAGGCTCGTTGATTTTTAAATTTTTGCCTGTAACTCTTCGTCATTTAAACTTAATGCTGACTTGATTCAGTTTTTTAAGTTATTTATTCTGAAGAAAAGGTTCACATGAAGTTGTAAAAAGTCTGAAGTTTTAGAGTGTACTATTTAGGATATTACAAGCAGATTTAAAAGTGATACAAAATATATTATCGAATTTGAAGCAAAAAAAAAAAAGACTATTTCACCTATTCTAAAATGAAATTATAAAAACCGTTTCATTCAACTGTTTAAGCAACAGGAAATTAGCTGACATATTTATTGTTACACTCTCTACAAATGTGTTATAAGTTCATTGAAATTATTTTTTTTTCTTGATGTAATCTTCACGTTCATAAATCTGTCATTCGATTGTACATCACTGAATCAGGAAATTGACCTGTAAGAAGAAACAACAAGAGTTTTTCCAAAAATTTGTACAAATTTATCTTATTGAATTGGTAATTATAATCATCTTTGGATAAGTTTAAACATTGCCGGTTTACACTGACAGTGACTTCATTTGATTCTACTGCGTATTCTTCGCTGAATTAATTGGGAGAAGTTTACGGGATACTCTTGACTAACTGGTATACGACGGAAGTTTTAATTTGGTCTCAAATATCTGGAGCTTACCCACCCTGTACTTTATTTCGCTGAGTATTTATCTCCCGTGCATTCTACATGGCCTTCAGTTTGAATCAATGCAATACTCTCATGCTAACGCTTACTCAATCAGCTATGGAAGAGTAAAAATATGAAGAGTTGTTGCGAAGATTTATATCAGTGATTAAATAAATATGTACATAAATCAGACTACTAAAAGGATGCAGACAAAGATCTGTGAATAGTGACTTTGACTAGATAAATACCTGACCAGCTCACAACTAGGTGTCATGCCTTGCAATGTGTCATTTCGTTAGTATGTAATCAATTGCTAATCCCACACTCTATCAGTTGTTCACGGTAAGCGATGCTCAAAAAACTTTAAATGAGAATGATTTTATATCGAATGCATAAATTTAACTCCTAAAATTGATGTAATTTAGTGTGAAGATAGTTCTCTCTGCAATGTAGCCTAGATAATCATAAAATCCAGGAGTTATTTGATTGCTATAAAGTCAATAATAAAAGTGATTTTTAAACTCAAGGAATTTTTTTAATATTACCCATATGAATAATGCTTTCCAGTCTTAATAATTACAGAATAACTATTAAACAAAGTTTAGTCATAAAACGATGCTTATTTAGTGAGATGGTTTCCTATGAACTTCACAACTTGTCTCAAGTTAAACGAAACAAACTCCGTTCTTGATTACTGATAAAAATGATCATAACAAAGGGTAACTAGAACCTGACAAATAACAACCTCAAGTAATTGCAGTCATTTTATAACCATTGGGTAACAAACTTCCTGAACTCAAATACAACTGTTTAGGTTATTAAACGTTGTGAATAATCTTTCTTAGTGCATCAACCACACACTATTGTATCTGAGATCATGATTATCATCAATAATCAGATATGTTTAACGCATTAATTATATAATATAAATGTTTCATTTCTATTTTGTCTATTTGCAATATATTTGTGAAATATACAATTGTGTTAAGTTTTGAGAATATAAGTTTATTACTTAATGATAGTTTTGTTTTCTCATACTGAATAATAATTTATTTCAAATTCACATTACAGCCAAAAATCAAAGTAGAGAAGAAAATCAAAATGACTTTTAATAAGTAAAGTACATTTATTTAAAGTATTCACAGTATAATACTGATTTGATTAGCTAAATAATGAAATATTAGCCTTAGTTTTCTATAAAACTTAAATGAATCTATTGCTAAAGTTAATGTTGAAAGAACTGTTTTTCTAAAATAACAACTTATACACTTTGAAAAAAAAAACTATTTTATCGTAGTGCTTTCTTTTCTGACTGACGTACTTTTATTCATTTATTATACCGCCATTTATTCATTTTTTCTGAATTCAAATACTGCTCTTTTATTCCTGCTAACCTGAAAACAGCATACATATGTAAATAATTATGTACATTGGCTTATTATATGTACACCAACAGCCATTCGAGTAGCAAAAACACTGGTATTCAACTTCATCACCATTATATTTTAACTGTCCTTTAAAAAAAAAACTTTCCATTTAATTACCGATTTCAAACTTTTTATGTACTGAAAACATAGAAAATATGTACTGACAATGTTTGATTCTTAAATTACTGAGGTCACTTAAAATCTTGGTTGTATGTCTGGAGTGGCTTTATGCATTACTTATGCATTTACTTATCACATGTCTAGTTTATTTGGTCCGATCATAAATACTCTGTCATTCCCCATCACATACAGCTGACCCACTGGCCTTGCTTACTTCACTTTGTTTTGCTTCTCTTTACTGTTTGTCAGCTTGCGTGAATGAATGGAATAAATTCATGCAAGATAAACTGTATTGGGTTTTTAATCACCACTGTCGCACAAACGGGGTTTGCCTAAGAATGATATACGGAAGTTAGATGAAAGATTTATTTTATAGAATATTCTATTGTTCGTCCAAAAAATCGGAGTCCGATCTCGGGCCATTAGAACCTGTTTCTAATTTAAATCCTATTTAAAAAGAAAATGACATGCTGATGCATTCCAGAGTGTTGTCAGAGTCTGTCGTTTAGGCTCCACACTGTTGTTCATAGAATATGGCCACCTATACTTGGAATAGGTTTTAATCTTGACGAATGTTTTTGATTTTCGAAAATCAATTCTTCACTTAGTATGATTAGCTTACAATCAGATAAACTCTAAGAAGCCATTCTAGGGTTAGTTAAGGTTGTCGACGAGGCATAATGTGGTGTTTGAATTAACTAGTGATTTCTTGGTTGTTGTTGAATGCTTGATTTTGAATTCTAGATACAGTACATTCGTTCGTGCTTATCCCGTAGTTCTTGATTCACATACTTCTAATCATCATACATAACCATACGAATGTCTAGTTTTAGCTTTTTTTTTTTACTGTACCCTAATGTATGCATATTATCTTCTATGTTACCATTTCCATTTAATTACTTTGACGGAGACACTTCAAGCTATTTGATTCGTTTTACCTTTTTTTTAGTGAATGAAGGGATTTCTCTGGATTATTTTACATTTTAAATTATTCACCAATTATGAATCATCAATACAAACAAACCATTGAGAGCAGCAACCTAATAACCGACAAGCTTTAGTACAAAACAAATCAATTTAATTTTCACTGTACAATATTCTTCTGTTTAAACACCTTGAATAATTAATTATCTCTAATAAATTATGAAAATAAGTTTACCTGATTTGTGTCAAATAATTTAAACAAGATAACCTGAAAAAATGCAGCATAGTTTCAAAAGTTTACAAGATATGATTTACAAACAAGTCCATACTGATAAGATTTGTATGAGCGAAAAAAATTAAAAGTCATATTATGTGTGTGTATTTAAAATCATTCAAATAATCACATTGATAGAATTTAGATTAAATGTATTCAAACGAGTACAACTTCAAAAATCTCTAATGTTAATTCCTTAGCTATTTATTGTACAGCCTAACCAAAAAGCTAAATAATTCGCAATAGTTGTATTCATCATTAGGCAATCGATTGACAGATCGATATGGCTTACTAACTTGGCCACCTTCAATGTTCTTTCTTACCAATATTATTTTAATCAACAATAAATCATCGTCATGGCTTAGAACTATCGATAACCGTTGAGCTGTTTATTTCGTGACTAGACTGTTTATGATTAATATAGAGAAAATATACATTTGAACTCAAATAAATTAAATGTTAATGGATGTTATTCACTTTGAGTCTAATTGCTTTTATAATTAAGTGTTGAATAGAGGTAAATTGATTTCTGTGCTTGTAATTTGTTAGAGGTGTAGTGAAGGAGAACAAAGGTGGGGCAACCGAATTGTAATTAACGAAAATTACAGAGTTATTCAGTAAAAACCATATTGTAAATCGTTCATTTGCAAAATATCAGTTCATCATATCGAACTGGACTGTTCCCGTTGCCAAACATCAATCCATTGTCACTATTCATGCGTTTCATAGAGATTCCATTGTGTTCTAACTCTTCCTTTCTTGATCTTCCCACATCTGCTGCCAGACATAACGTTGACACTCACGTCATATACTACTTATAAGTAGCTCGCACCACAGAGGTACATATTCTTTTGCGCTATAAATTCAAATCCGTCGTTTGATTATAATCTATGTTTGGCTGGTTAAATAATAAAAAAACTTGGTGAATATATTCTAGTCCTTATTAACAAAGCAGGCTAGGATATAAATTTGTAAAACTCACGAAATTAGTGTTTTTCTACACTAGATATATATGTGGGTGTATATTCAAACAATTTTTCTAAAGTTATTAGAATGAATATATGTTACAAAAATAAAATGTCAACTTGTTAACCAGTAGCAATAAATTCAGTGTAATTTCTGTCACAATATTGTCAAAATATTTTAAATAGGATTTAGTAAGTGGGTAAATGTCGAAATGGACTCATGCTTTAAGTGACCAGTCAGTAAGTTTCAGCCTCCATGACTAGAGTAGTAATGATTGTGGACTCCTGAAAATCACCAAACTATGAAGGTTTGATTTTTAATGGCATTTTTGAATGGGATTTACTAGATTTTTCAAAACTAGTTAATGAAACGAAAAAGTGCGCTAATTTTTCGGAAGAATTAAATTGAACCAAGTTTTACTCTTCACTACCTTCATTTCTTCTTTCTTCCGTTCCAATCTTTTGTAAATCAATTTACAGATATTAATCCATAAGCATCAGGTAAGCCATTTTTACAGTTTTCACACATCAATGAAACTCAATTGACTGTTGTAGAGTGGATTATTCATTAAAATAATGCAAAAATCAATTTTATACTAAACTAGATTCACAGTTTTTCCCAAACATTGCTTACTTCTCTTTATTTTCACAGAAATACTAATAATCGACTATCACTATTGTGGTTCATCCTACCTACAACTAACCACATTACATTATATTACTTTCATTTCAACTTAAAATATTGATTGTGTAAACAATAAAATTTGATTGTATATATAGTCTTTTCAACTGGTCTTCGTAGTAAGAGAAGCGAAAATACATAAGGAAGTTTTATTACAGCTAAATTTCATGTCTATTCATGAAGCGGTCAAAATACAGACAGAGCTATGAGAAAGTGCTTATGGATGATGTTTCTAATCTTATGTTATAGACTGGGACGAAAAGTATTGTAACGTCGAGATAATAAAACAACACATTGTATTCTATTCTCTAAATGTTAAAATAACTCACATCCAACACTTAAATAATAAACCAATGAATTATGTAAACAAGAACTATGACATATACTGAGCGGTAACTAAGTTCCTGGTCGACTAATGTCATTTCCTCAAGTAAGCTTATCTTTTACAGCCGAAGAAATTATAGTGAAATAAAGAAATATAATTTGTATTGTTTTAAGTACTAACTGACTTGTAAGTAGTATAATATTATAAACAAAGTTTCACAACCTCAATCTAATCATCACAAGAATTTACTAAAAATAAATTTTTGATGTCATAAGTCACATACTATTGATATTAAATGAATCTTAAGCTTAAGCTCGATCGAAAACCACTGTAGAATTCTGAGGATTTGTTTTTGAAGAAACCTGCTCCATTCAAATGACAAATACAAATACCACAAAACGAATGACAATAAAGAGGTAATCAATTCGATTATAAATTAAACAGTATGGATTAAATGAAGCAATTAATTTATGTATTTAATCACAATATATTACTTTTCTATATTCAATGTCAGAAAATAAAAATAACAGCATGACATCAATAATTAATGAAACCTTATTATTCATTAAAGCTACCAACCTTCAATCAAGAAACAGTCAGGTTGGTTAGATAAACTGATAGCGAATGGAGAACAGTCCTAGCAGGCAGCTTACACTGAAAGAAACTAATTTGTTTCCAGACAACATCGAGTAGGCTTCTAATTATTTCGATCGAATAATAGGTTATTCAGTACAATTGCTTGGTTTTATTAAGTGTTTAAAGTGTATGAGTATTTTAGAGACAGTGAATCAACTAGTTACAAGATTAAAGCTTTTAACCAATGGTTCAGCATTATATGACACGTGTTATAAAAATGCTGAAGTTTCTAAATGCTTTTGAATAACAGGTTTCTGTGAATACTAATGAGAAAATCTGAAACACTTTTCTGACCTTACCTGATATAATTTGATATGTTAAATTTTATTTTGTATTCGATCAGCTTTCTAGTGTGTTTTGGCAGAGTTGATGACTTAGTAAATCTAAATGACAAAATGTCATCGACCACCTGTCGAAACCTAAATAACATCAAGCAGTTATTATACTTCACTCCAAACCACAAATCTTAGTAGAAACTTGTTAATGTGGTCGACACCAGTAGCTGATTTTTTTCGTCAGGCTGTCATAACAATCTACATAGAATATTATCGTAAAGAAACAGTATGATGGTGGAATCAGTTCAAAATGGAACGACAGAAGTTGAAACTTCATATCAAGTCAATATTAATAGAGTAATAAATAAATCAGTATATATTCCAGTTGATAAAATAAACAACCAATACTAATCTCATTATGTTTTTAAATCAACTGTGATTTGTTCTTTTGTATGCTACGGAAATCAATAAGGTGTTTTGTCATAAGTATAAATAATGTTTTAAAAAAAGCTTCTGTTTAGTTAGTCAGAAAGTTCTTGCTTGTTTGATTACTTGATTTCAATAGTTTAGAAAGCTGGAATAGTCACCAAACCACAATTACAAATTAATGTAAAAATGTATGTCATTACTACAAATAATACGGTAAGTGATATTTACTTGTGAAATTTTTTGTAAAGAAAGAAATTATTTACCTTGAAAATATTATCTATTGACTTTTAAAAGTAAATTTTGCCGGAAGAAACTTTGTCAACATAAAATCCAAATAGTGGTTTGACAGAAAACAGTTGAATGATATACAGATAGTTTGGGAAATAAAGATTGAAGTTGTAATTACTGCACAAAGTCAGCAAATTATTAAGTCATTAGAAGACAATTAAAATTGAAATATATATTTACACAGTTCGTCATTAGGCATTATTTTTATGTTAGGTAGTTAAAGGTATTTTTAAGAATACAATAAGCTTGATTTTCCTAATATATGACACTCTTTAGTAAAATGTATCTGCAAATTTGGCAGAATTCAGTGTTCCAATCTAATCAAGTTTAAAAAGTTCCACACAAAATAAAATATGATTTGGCCTCAGGGAATAAGTTTAAAAGATATGCCTAGAAATATTGGTATACTAAATTTTATTATGCCTACTGAACCATACTTACTTATTTACTTACGCCTGTTACCCCCAACGGAGAATAGGCTGCCAACCAATATTCTCCAACCTACTTTGTTCTTGATTTCCCTCACCAGTTCTGTCCAAATTTTGTTCATTCTCCTCAGGTCTGCACCCATTTCTCGACGTAAAAGCGTTTTTTGGTCTTCCTCTTTTCCTTTGACCTTGAGGGTTCCGAGGGAGGACTTGTTTTGTGGACGCAGTAGGAGCTTTCCTCCCTGTGTGTCCTGTTCACTTCCAGCGCTTCCTCCTGATCTCCTCCTCCACTGACATCTGGTTTGTTCTCTCCCACAGTAGGTTGTTGCTGATGGTATCTGGCCAACGGATCCATAGAGGACCACTTTAAATACCCACACGTTATTCGAAACCTTTTGTTCTAAAAGCCAGGAATCCGAATGAAAGAGATGAAAAATAACTCTTGTATTCTTTTTACAGATAATAATTAACTGAATTCATACGATAGAGAATAAAACATCCAAACAAATGAAAAAATAATAAATACCATCGAAGTGATGATATCCTTCAGTAATGTGAGCTTCCTGTGACCATAAAATACCATAGTATAGTTGAAGATGGAAAGAGTCTGGCTAGTGATGGTGATATTGATGTTAACAGGTCAAAAACACGAAATCTAGACATAAAACGTTTTGATATCACGAGTCTCTAAATCATTCTTATATTGAATATATCCATCATTACATTTCAGAAGTTAATAACAACAATACAACAGAGTTTCTTAATCACTGTGTGATTATTGAGGAAAGTGAAACCAATTAGTTAAACAGATTAATATGAATTCATTGCATTTTGTTTGGTTTCTTATCAGCTGCTCACCATGTATTATATACAAATCAGCTTTCAGGCACCCGATAACAACAGCTTCGGCAAACTTCAAGGGAGTTTTGCTCTTTATTACTCACCTTAAAAGATTACAACGTATCGACCTGATGTATAGTATCCACGGTATGATATGTCACTTCATTGTTTCACGGATATCTTTCTCTTGTTAGAAGGCTTAATGAAATACCTTCAAAAAATCTAAGGAATATTTTTTCTTTCTGTTTTGGCCAATGCAGCTGCTTTGTGAGGTACAGTTAAATTGATAGATGCAGTTTGCAGTAACATGAAGGTTTCTTGTCGACTTTTGAAAGGGTGGTTGAATACATTTTTTTACACATTATTAGCACTGTGGATGCGAGTTAGGTTCTGGTAAGTGCAGTGTTAAGCATCCTGCGAACTTTGCTTTGATATTCACCACCTATAAAATCGAAATTTAGTTGTTTTAATAGACGCATTCTTGGAACTGATTGAGCAAAACCTATGGAAATCCAGGTAAAGAATATTACATGTACTTTTTCCGGTAAACCGAATGCTTATTTATTCATTTATTTATTTCACGGCAAACAAGCACTGGTACAAAGGAGAATCAAAACATTTATGCCCCCCACACTAATTCGGACCAGCCAACTGAAACGGTGGTTTTGATAATATTGCCCCCACCCTAAAAACCTAATCCATAAGTTAGACGACTTAATCCCTAAGGAGATGAAGTCCGATGACTACCCAATGATCAACAATAGGTTTATATGCGATCGCTCCATTAAGATCTTGGGAGCCCATGTGCAACAACTGATTCCGGAATCAGAGTTTTCAAACTCCCCCAGGTCGATCTACTGTCTCCATCAGCCCGATCTACTCACCCGGACACTCGCTATCCGTTTCCTCATTTTCGTAAACATAATCCCACCATGAGGAGGGCAGTGAGTGAGACTTTTCCTGATAGTGGCTATTTACATATGACCATATGAGAGCATTGAAAGAGAAAAAGACTCTCCCCACTCCCTGCCATATTTGGGGCACTTTCCCCATTCTTTGTATCCCAATAATCAAAAGAGTAGATCCACATCAGTGTTTTGTGTTCCATAGTTAACTGCATAAATGAATGAGCACTTTGGAAAGTTCGACTAGCGGACTGCATACTTTTTACAAGTGCGAAAAATAAACATCTCAAATAAAGAGAGAGAACTATGTGTACTCAGTTTCTCAAAAAGCGCCTTCTCTGTTGTGATTAATTTGAACCAACGCAAATTCGATTCAAGATAAACAAAATTGCAATGAAACTGATATAGTTCGGTTTCGGCACACGGGATGAAGAATCCATGAATATACAGTAATAAAAATAAAAATTGATACTACTCTTTAGGCGACAAACATTTAAGGTGCAAACACCTTTGTATTCGTTTAATACGCCTACAAATTTCTATATATCTTGATTAATCATAGAAATACCATTTCAAAAGCCAGTAACAAAATAAAATCACAACAATGCTATTACCTTGTTTCCTTCTGTTATCACTAGATACACATGTTACGAGAAACCCTAATGGCGGTTACAGAGCACTGTCAATCGCTTGTTCATTGTTAGGGACATCACACCAATATACAATTACCATCCTAGACAAATTGTTAAACCAATGACGTTAAGCCCACCATACTTTTAAGTAGCTGTATAGGCATCCGGCAGAACATATTCGTAATTTCAAGTGAGTTAAATGATTTATCCAGAAAAAGGATAAGGAAGAGTTGAAACTAAAGAAATATCACCGGCAGAAAACATCCTACAGGCTTTATCATAACATTTCAGCAGCTGCTGCTGTGTTTTTGAAATTGGTTTAAAATAGAATTAATCCAGTCATCAAATTAAACAGGTATCCATCATAAAAAAGTTTATTAGACTTACTTAAATAAGCAACCACCTTAATCATTTGGCATTCAGTGGTGATACAATCCATTATTTTCCATAATGTTTATGACATTTATTAATAAATCACAAACGATTACTCACATTTCGTGAAACTACGCATTTTATTTCATAAAATGACAAACAGATATAATCGTGTTTGTGTTTTTAATCAAATCGTCACATAAAATAGTAGAAATGTAGACAAATGTTCGCTATTCATACAGCTACATTCGGAAGTCTTCACAGTCTATAATATACCATTCTAGACAGGAACGATCTGAGTCTAATCTAATCTTAATTGTATAATTTGTAATAGGTGCTAAATGGAAACAATCGATAAAAGTTATATGATTTCAGTTAACGCGTTTATTCCATGCTTTCATGTGTTCATCTTAGTCAATACAGTCAGATCGATAAATGATCCTCAAATCAAAATATATAATTGAAGTAGTACATACATTGAATTCACATGGATAAATAATTATATGGATCAATTGTTTTATATCTATTCTGTTTATCAACTTAGGAAAAAGCATTATTCTCAATAAAAATACTCACTAATATCATTACAACGTCAATGTGATATTTTCAGTAAGAAATATTTTACGCTATAAAATATAGATAACTGCACATATGTTAAGTGTTGAAAACAAAAAGGTTTATTATGTGTATTATAGTATTTATTGATTTCCAACTATTTGCTAACTACATAACCTAAGTTAAATCTTTGTGAAATAAATGACAATATTTACAAATGTACTGTTGAAAAGTATCTTATCATTGTTTTACTATTCAATGTTATAGTGGTAGTATGTGTTTATACTTGGGACTGGAGAAAGTAAATCACACAACGCAGGCAAAAGCACGAAAATGACAGATGAATACTTTATTGAAGCATAACTGATTAGTTAAGTGGTAAATATGATGGCGTTTGAAGCTAACGGTTATGGTTTGGGTCCTAAAGTGGAAACGGACGCTGAGATGCAGGTGTATCCACCTGACAAGTCCCAAATCGAATTAAACGTGCTCCCTGGATTCAACCAATCATCTCTAGTAACAAAAGTAATAGTTTTCTTTACCCTGAACTCCACTTGATTGCATTTGATATTATTCAAATCTGATAGATTTCAGATATCGTAATATATTATACTATGAAATTCTTCGCACACACTGTCTGTATTTCTTATAACCTAATAGTCTTCTCCAATTCTGATTTCTAGTATAGTGAATGTCATGAGTAGCTGTAGAATTAAAAGTCGTCTTGTGTTTATTGACGCTTCATTTACACCTTGTATGGGTTCAGGAGGCTACCATTCATGTTTAAAGCATAAAATCTTTGTTGTAACGCTTGCTTAAATAATTCCCAGCTAATTCCTATTGCTTAGTATTCTCTGACCACAATACACTGGACAAGTTCCAAAGAATCAAAAACACGGTGGAACAGGAAAAGATTATATTCTTAATGAAGTCTTCTATTTCATTTAATTCTTTAGATGCAATATCAACATTCTAAATCAGTTCGGAAAATGTTTCTAAACACTGGTACACTGAATCATTTGGAATATTACATCTGGTTAAGGTATTATCATCTGCCTCACTGAATAAAAGTTGGTCTCTAAAAGCATTTCATAGGATAAAACCATGAAAATTAGAAAATGGGATTATTTACTTTAATATACTCTGATAATGATTATTTAAATCTACTGATTTAATATCAACCAACAAAATTGAAACCATTTCAACATTTCGCCTCAGTAAATTGGTCAATTTTGGTTTACATTATTTCCCTGGATAAGTTGCACACATCAATCTAACAATCAGAATAATGGAATTATTCAACATTTCAATCAATGAGACTATGCAAATATAGTGTTTTATACGTAATATATTTCTACATGCTTGATCAACAATTGTTTTCAAATTGCTTATTTTTAATTTGACGAATGTCATGTATTTTAAAACAATGTACTACTTTAGCCGGACTAGGGTTTTCTTTTTTATTCGACCAAAATGATCATGAGTTGTCTGTCGATGGTATTGGACGATTTCTACTCTGTAATGCAAACTGACCAAACTTGCTATTGATCCAAAGATAATAATTGTTGCCCAACCATAATGTTTGTGTCGTAGATGGGTACACTGATGAAGAGTCCAAAGCTAATATGGAATCACTTTTCAAGTGCGCCTGTATTAATCCTTAATTTACGACGAAATACTATCTTCAAATCGAAGTAATCTCCACAACAGCACTCATGTATTTTAAATACCATGATCTGAAACTTCTACAGTAGATTTGGTATAATGGTGAAACCAAAACGACCACAAACTATTCTTTATATTCATAGATAGTGAAACAATCAATCTTTCCTCAAAATGGAGTGAAAATATTAGTTGTTGTTGACAGAATTAACTATACTATACTCCTTCATAGCATGATAAGAAATGCCGGTTGTTAAAACCATAGTAACTGAATGAATTTCATCAGGTTACGTTTACTAAGATGATTTGTTTTATTAAAATATGACTAAGATATTGTGTTATAAGAAGTGAAAAATTTGATTAGTTGTTTTCACTTATAAACTTACACGTATGATTATTTTGGTGTGTGAACAATTCAATTCATATTGTTTTTATTTAATATTCCATCAACAAGAAGATTGTATGGAGGTATAAACAAATAATCTTCAAACAATAGGCTCATTTATACGACTGTGCATCAATTAAATGCAAAAAGCTTTTTAATAAACCTGATTCATCTTTCTCAAGCGATTCGCTCTGACAGTTTCACTGAAAACATTTAAATAATGCATGCAACCTACTCAATATGAAGGAACATTGTTTTGATTCGTGTCGCCCATTACTTATACTTAAAAATAAGAAACCACTACAATGACCACGACACAAAAGGCTGACGGAAGTGAAGACTTATTTAGCCTGAGCACGGCAACGATCATATTTGAAAACACACTGCTTTTATAAATTAATTTAAACGCCCATTTGTTGATTAATGACAAAATTCATGAAAATGCCCAGATTATAACAAATCACATGCTATATGTCATGTTGAACAAATTTCCGTTAATTTTAATACAAAGAATATCGTATATAGAATAAACATCACATAAAAATCATCAATCACACAGAAAATAAAACAAACATTAAGCACATCAATCACCATGTTCAATTAAAATCGTAAGGAATGTTTAGAAAGTTACGATTTAGAAATGTAATTTTGTCTTTTTATCCGTCATATCAGACATCAACCTCAATCGGTCAACAACCACATGCATCAAATGAAACTAGGGCAGATTACTGAGACTTTTTCGATAACGACTTATAGACTTAAAGTTTAAAACTGATGTCCCTTGTGATATGTAAACGTAAAATTTACGAAAGGCATAACTTAAAAGTTTCACTACGGCCAGGCTGCTTATGAATTTTACAGTCACCTGATTGATGCTATCCGAATTCGTCACATCATTTTGTTTTTATTAGTTCGTTTTCTCTTGTGGGAGTGATTACTTGGAGCGCACAAGTAGCCGAATTCGATATCGTATCTCCTAACAAATGGTGTGGTCGAGCGAAATATGGTTAAGAATGATCAAGAACTCTATTCTTCCTTACTTGATTAAAACTGAATACCAAATAAACTTAAATGAAATAGTTTAGTTTCCTAGCGGATATGTCTTGTGGTTTAAATGTTTGTCTCTCGCCGTTGTTTAAGCTATCAGAATCTACAACCACGAATCAAACTTTCACATCCAGACAGTATATGTTCAACAAATCTTCCTTCCTTAGCAGTCTACAGACTAATCGAAAATGAATATTTATCTATTTCTAAATTCCCTTCACTTTCGTGTTCTCACCTGTTAAGAAAATGTTTTTCCAATTCTCATACGAGACAATTATGCAACCCATCAAAGTTTTCCAACTCCCCCAGGTCGATCTACTGTCTCCATCAACCCGATTTACGCACCGGACACTCGCTATCCGTTTTCTCATTTTCGTAAACAACATTCTACCACGAGGAGGCAGTGAGTGAGACTTTCCTGACAGTGGTTGTATACGTACGACCATATGAGAGCATTGAAAGAGAGGACTCTCCCCACTGTCACACTACTGCATTTTGGGGCAGTGATAAATAGGCTGTCCTGATGAATTGCTGTATACTTATAAAGCGATTGCATCAATTCTTACCAGTTAGACATTTCGACACTTAGCATAGGAATAGTAATCAAAAGTCAAGAAAATTTCTTTTATTGTCGAGATCCAACTAAAATGTTTGTTATTAATCAACCCAAATGTGAATAAATTAGTCTAGTAATATAATCCACCTTACGTAGTATATTTACATAGATTAACTACTCAACCGTCTTCTTAAATATTTAACTCTAGTTTGCTTTATTGATAATTAATGGATGAAAACATAGTTGTGTTAAGCACAAACAAGTTGGTTGTTTTTCTTTTCAGAAATTTAATTCCATTTAGTAATCTTAAAATAGAATTTGATCAATGCATCTATGTATCATCAACATCACTCTATAAACCATGTGATTTTAGTAGTACCCATTTTTGAAATAACCAATATGAGAGTCCAGTGAATATTTCCATACTAAAATAATATTGATTCAATAAATAAAAACCACTAGATTAAGAATAAAACTTCAACACTTGTCAATGTTTTTAAATAACCAATCAGTTAGCTAATAATAAATGATATCTATTGTGTATTTTTGCAATGAATATGACCAAGAGTAAAAATAGCAAACTCTTATACAATGCGTTGGAAAAGTACATCTAAAATGAATGAATGCAGTTTAAGACCTGAAAAATTAATTATTTAATTCTACGATAACAATATGTTTATCAAGTGTTAACCGAGATTTTATTGAAGTATTCTTGAAGAGCCTGAAGCTAAATCGCATTGAACTCGATGTTCACATCACAGTTTTCCTTTCTACGGAGGATATTAATGCATTAGGATGCTTAGGTTTTATGATCTTATCAATAAACCTCGATGGATACAAATCTTCGATAAGCATTCCCTTAGTTTGGTTCAGTTCGTTACCTTAGGACTACAAATTCCTCGTATCCCAAGAGCGGAGGATATAATTAAGTTTCGCTTTCGGCTAATGGCAACGCAGTTGTGAAAGCCTGATAACTGACCCTTCCATGGTTTTTTTTAGATAGATCTTCTTAAGTTCCGTTTTGTCTCATGGTCATTTGGACGTCAAGAAAGTGAGTATTCTGTTTTCGAAATCTAGTGTGAAAGTTATTGCTGTGTGACGGCTACTAAACGTCTTTAGATGATTTAAATCATATTTATTGTCACAATGGATAAACTTGGTTTTTTTCCAGACTGGCCATGAAACAATCTGCTAGTAATGGACCAAGAGGGGGGATCCCATTGCTATGCCATCATTTATACGCCTTTATTTATTTTACCCTACTGTTATGATGCTCGGCAAGACTGTTTAATCACCATTATGTAATTATTATTAGCATTTTGAAAAATAAGTATATATTTGCGATTGTACAACTTTGAAAATGAATTCGCCGAAAAAAGAAAAGTAAATAGCAGTACTATTTCAAAGTATAGACACAGAGAAAATAAGAAGAATCATCAACCTAAATCCTATATAAATATATATATATATATATATATATATATATATCAGTCGAGTAATTAGGTTTTTCTGCTGTTGGAAGAAAGGAAGCAAATCAAAAATGTAGTAAACATGAATTTCGAAAATTTATTTAAAGAAAGAAGTTGAATAATTGGACGTTTCTTTAAGAAAAGTCAAGAACCTTCTTGTCCAAATTCATCTGTAAATTTACGATGTTTAGCTAAGTCTTCAGCGTTTACAGTTGGCTTGTTTCGTTCCAATGAACTCAACATATCACTCTGTACATTAAAGGTAAATAAACAAAAGAATAAGACCGATAATTATTTTTTAAATTAAAACTGCATCAATATCGATAAGTGATGATTAACTTACTAGCGTAATTAATGTCTCACAAATAAATAAACATATCAGTAATAAATTATGCAATAAGCGATAATTACTTAGTCTGAAACCATAAAAGAAAATGACAACCCTATAACAATAATTCTTTATGTTATATAATTGTGAGAACAAGTAGATCGTGATAGCTAACTCATTACTAATGATACTAATGAAAAGTCAGTCACTCAGGTCCAGTTACACACTCCTTAGTAGATACAAAATAATTCATTGAAAACATATATATAAGCATCAATAATTGTGCTGAAACAACACTAACAGAGGTTATCTACAGAACTTTTACATCTTACTGTATAAAATAACGAAACAGGTTTTATGATGGTAATTTTTATTTCCACAAAAGTTAACATAATCAGGATCTAGTTGCAATGACAAAGGGGAAACTTGATACACATCAGTGACATAGATTAGCACAATTCATGAGTTAATGTGAAAAGTTTACTTTCCATTGTTGTTAGATTCACTTTTTTCAGGGTTTTTTCTATTAGACCAGTATAACTGATACTCATTATTTTTTGTACTAAATGATGAAATATCAATAAATTCTAAATATACACCAGCAGAAAAAATTCACAATCAAATTAAAAATGGGAAAATAAGGTATAAACGAACCATAGAAACTGGGGGTTCTCTAAGTTTATTACTCGGGACACTTTGCCAATTCATTTCTATTGCCTGAAAAAATCCTGGGGAGCATGGCATTAAAAGATCATCGACAATTTTTGAAGGGTTAGTAGGACAAGGACCACTAACCTGTGAAATAACAGTTAAAGCAATTAGAAAATCAAAAACAAATAGTGAATCATAAGAACGATTATGGATGAGTAACGTGAACGCAGTTGATTTAAGGTAACTTACCGACCAGGTTCATGTGTATTTACTCTGATACGTGTTATACTTTATGGTGTGACCGAGACATTGATCCTACCTGCCACGACAGAAATATATATGGGATTTGAACCTAAACGGTTGGAAACTTAATAACCTAAACATCGATTCATGATTGGTCTAAATCCAACCTTCAGTTAAATTAAGAAATAAGTCCATGTACCTGTATGGTGGGAAATACATTGTGCCAGGTCGTGTTCAATGACGAATCATGTTGGAGCAAGATGATAGTCACATACCAATACGACTCAGTTCAGTTGTCAATGACTTCATGGATTTGTGCCACGTTTAGGTTTGAACGCCCCTGGCTTCCTTCCAGCCTAACACTACATCAGACAACATTACTCGTCCAGGTAGCAAGTGGCTAGGCATATGTAACACATATCTCAACCACCTCAACTAATGCAGATTCACTACTTCATCAATCGATTTGTCATCCTGATCTGGTAACCTTTTCCCAACACCAGCATTGCTTACTCGATGGCGCCAGGCTATACGAACAATGCTTCGAAGACGCCTACCTATGGTCGAATACTAGTAATCTACGAATATTCTTTAGCCTTGGCGGTTATGTTTCACACCCATAAGGTAAAAAGGAGCAAACTGCTGCACAGCAACCTCATACTACCCTTAGCAGACGCATATCTCGCCAAAACCATAAGTGAAGCAAGTTATCATAAACCAGTCGAGCCTTCCGTATCCCAGCTGAGATTTCATCAGACATCAGTCCATTAGCTCTGATGAGACTCGCAAGTTAAGCACTTACCATACTCAACTATCACCCTGTCACTAGTTCGGGTGCCGATGCAACCCAATCTTGAAGCAACATTTTGCATTTAGAGGGGGAATACCGAACATGCTTGCATTGTTGCTTTGAGGGAAATGACTCGAGAACATTCTTGAGTAAAAATTGTGGTCACTTTACAATCAACTTTGTTTATCGTAATGTAATTAAATACCTGTTTAAGCCATGCTGTGATTTTGGGGACCAGTTGAGTAATGTAATTTTCGAATAATACTAACTGATGAGTAGTAGCTGGGTCGTATAAGAGATCTTAAACAAAAGAATATATCTTTAGAGCTTTAGAATCTTGAGTCAGGCAGCAAGCCATTCGTAACACAGGATCAGTATGCAACGATTGCTACACTTCATATTAGCAGAAAAAGAAAAAATCACCAAGCTATGTTGAAAACAATCGAAATTCAAGCACCAAGAAATGATATCGAAGTATGGAAAGTGGCGAATGATACAAACTTTAAAGATAGAAAATGAATGTAACTGAATGATAGGAACCTATTTTGCACCATGTTACTAATCTATAATGGTCCGTTATAGGGATGGGTTTTATAGTCCTGCTAGTAAACCATTGGAAGCCATTCAAATTGTTCCAATCGTATGAAACTGCTATCAGTTTGTCTTTTAATCTGAAACTACACTAATAGGATAGCATATGAATGCTTTAACATAATTCATTTTTTAAAAAGGAGGTGAATAAGATTATTTTGATGTAATCACAATCCACTGATAAGTGTGTCTGAGAATTTTATCAACATTTTGAGAACTATGCATACATTTGTGTATGCACCTCTAGGAGAATGTCGATATAAAATCAGCCCTATTGTTTCAATCTAAAAGTGGGATTAGACAGGGTTACTATATCTCAGTATTCGTTTTGAGTTTTGCAACAGATGACATTCTGGAAACAGCTCTGAATGAAATATGAAAAAGAGGTGTGAATCGATTCCCAAGATAAATACTTTAGATTTGGAGTAGGCAGATAGGCTTTACAGTCATTAAACACAGGTTATTCAAACCATAATTAATGAGTTGGCAAACTGTGTCAGAGAGAACATCATGTAATTTGCACCTTAGAAGTGCAAAGAACTCCTGTAGAACTCGCGGGATTGTGTGCAAGCACAGATGTTATGACGAACCGGTGAATATAGTTCAAAACTTCGTGGTCATTTTAGTCTTTGATAGTATACAGGAGCTTGGGTAGGCTCGTAGTGATATGGTAAAGATTAATAAGTACCATTCAAAAGACTTACATATCTAAAATGTGTTGATAATTGGACCTTTCGAACGGGCATCATTAAAGCATCCCGAACAACGACTGATATGTCTGCACCCGAATAACCCGTGGTCATTGTTCCAAGTTCAATAAAATCTTTTTCCGTAAGATCATGATATATGTTTTCCAGATTCGCTTTGAACATACTAACACGTTCGTTTGTTTCAGGAAGGGGAATATATATACGCTTTTCAAAACGACGACGTATAGCCGGATCCAAAGTCCAAGGGGTATTAGTAGCTGCCAATACCAAGACGTTATCATGATAACGTCTTGGTATTGGCAGCTACTAATACCCCTTGGACTTTGGATCCGGCTATACGTCGTCGTTTTGAAAAGCGTATATATATTCCCCTTCCTGAAACAAACGAACGTGTTAGTATGTTCAAAGCGAATCTGGAAAACATATATCATGATCTTACGGAAAAAGATTTTATTGAACTTGGAACAATGACCACGGGTTATTCGGGTGCAGACATATCAGTCGTTGTTCGGGATGCTTTAATGATGCCCGTTCGAAAGGTCCAATTATCAACACATTTTAGATATGTAAGTCTTTTGAATGGTACTTATTAATCTTTACCATATCACTACGAGCCTACCCAAGCTCCTGTATACTATCAAAGACTAAAATGACCACGAAGTTTTGAACTATATTCACCGGTTCGTCATAACATCTGTGCTTGCACACAATCCCGCGAGTTCTACAGGAGTTCTTTGCACTTCTAAGGTGCAAATTACATGATGTTCTCTCTGACACAGTTTGCCAACTCATTAATTATGGTTTGAATAACCTGTGTTTAATGACTGTAAAGCCTATCTGCCTACTCCAAATCTAAAGTATTTATCTTGGGAATCGATTCACACCTCTTTTTCATATTTCATTCAGAGCTGTTTCCAGAATGTCATCTGTTGCAAAACTCAAAACGAATACTGAGATATAGTAACCCTGTCTAATCCCACTTTTAGATTGAAACAATAGGGCTGATTTTATATCGACATTCTCCTAGAGGTGCATACACAAATGTATGCATAGTTCTCAAAATGTTGATAAAATTCTCAGACACACTTATCAGTGGATTGTGATTACATCAAAATAATCTTATTCACCTCCTTTTTAAAAAATGAATTATGTTAAAGCATTCATATGCTATCCTATTAGTGTAGTTTCAGATTAAAAGACAAACTGATAGCAGTTTCATACGATTGGAACAATTTGAATGGCTTCCAATGGTTTACTAGCAGGACTATAAAACCCATCCCTATAACGGACCATTATAGATTAGTAACATGGTGCAAAATAGGTTCCTATCATTCAGTTACATTCATTTTCTATCTTTAAAGTTTGTATCATTCGCCACTTTCCATACTTCGATATCATTTCTTGGTGCTTGAATTTCGATTGTTTTCAACATAGCTTGGTGATTTTTTCTTTTTCTGCTAATATGAAGTGTAGCAATCGTTGCATACTGATCCTGTGTTACGAATGGCTTGCTGCCTGACTCAAGATTCTAAAGCTCTAAAGATATATTCTTTTGTTTAAGATCTCTTATACGACCCAGCTACTACTCATCAGTTAGTATTATTCGAAAATTACATTACTCAACTGGTCCCCAAAATCACAGCATGGCTTAAACAGGTATTTAATTACATTACGATAAACAAAGTTGATTGTAAAGTGACCACAATTTTTACTCAAGAATGTTCTCGAGTCATTTCCCTCAAAGCAACAATGCAAGCATGTTCGGTATTCCCCCTCTAAATGCAAAATGTTGCTTCAAGATTGGGTTGCATCGGCACCCGAACTAGTGACAGGGTGATAGTTGAGTATGGTAAGTGCTTAACTTGCGAGTCTCATCAGAGCTAATGGACTGATGTCTGATGAAATCTCAGCTGGGATACGGAAGGCTCGACTGGTTTATGATAACTTGCTTCACTTATGGTTTTGGCGAGATATGCGTCTGCTAAGGGTAGTATGAGGTTGCTGTGCAGCAGTTTGCTCCTTTTTACCTTATGGGTGTGAAACATAACCGCCAAGGCTAAAGAATATTCGTAGATTACTAGTATTCGACCATAGGTAGGCGTCTTCGAAGCATTGTTCGTATAGCCTGGCGCCATCGAGTAAGCAATGCTGGTGTTGGGAAAAGGTTACCAGATCAGGATGACAAATCGATTGATGAAGTAGTGAATCTGCATTAGTTGAGGTGGTTGAGATATGTGTTACATATGCCTAGCCACTTGCTACCTGGACGAGTAATGTTGTCTGATGTAGTGTTAGGCTGGAAGGAAGCCAGGGGCGTTCAAACCTAAACGTGGCACAAATCCATGAAGTCATTGACAACTGAACTGAGTCGTATTGGTATGTGACTATCATCTTGCTCCAACATGATTCGTCATTGAACACGACCTGGCACAATGTATTTCCCACCATACAGGTACATGGACTTATTTCTTAATTTAACTGAAGGTTGGATTTAGACCAATCATGAATCGATGTTTAGGTTATTAAGTTTCCAACCGTTTAGGTTCAAATCCCATATATATTTCTGTCGTGGCAGGTAGGATCAATGTCTCGGTCACACCATAAAGTATAACACGTATCAGAGTAAATACACATGAACCTGGTCGGTAAGTTACCTTAAATCAACTGCGTTCACGTTACTCATCCATAATCGTTCTTATGATTCACTATTTGTTTTTGATTTTCTAATTGCTTTAACTGTTATTTCACAGGTTAGTGGTCCTTGTCCTACTAACCCTTCAAAAATTGTCGATGATCTTTTAATGCCATGC